ACTCTTCGGAAGCTGATCGAGAATCCCTCGCTTGCGGGATTTCCGATATACGGAATCTGTCTTGGGCATCAGATCTTGTCGCAAGCGATGGGGGCAACGACTTTCAAGCTCAAGTTTGGTCATCGTGGCATCAATCATCCAGTCTTGGATTCCAAGAGTGGTCGCGTGGAGATCACGAGTCAGAATCATGGCTTCGCGGTGGATGCTTCCAGTTGTGAAGCTGCGGGAATGGTGGTGACCCATAGACATCTGAACGATGACACGGTTGCTGGATTTGAGGCGCGAGACGGACTGATCGCTGGGATGCAGTTCCATCCAGAAGCATCTCCGGGACCTCATGACGCGGATGGGTTCTTCACCCGTTTCGCGACGGCTGTGCGGGGTCTCGAGACGGCGTGAGAGGGTTAAGATGGGTAAAAAGCCTGGTTCTCTGGGGTGATTCGAGGGGCAGATATCGGGGCTTTTTCCCAGAAATGTACGCAAAATCGGGGGCTGGGCTCTTGCAATCCGCACCAGACCCTGTATATTCGGGAGGTACCACTGAGTTTGTGGTATGTAGTTTGTTTTGCCGTACGATTCTCGTTGTGTGCGAGAATACCGCGTAGAGGTCAATCTTGACAGGCACCCGCTCGTGGGAATCTGTGAGGGACCTGGGTAGAGAGAGAACCCGATGGCGGTCACGATGTGTTCGGCGTGTAGTGGGATTCGTGTCCCGCTGCAAGATTTTGTTCGTTTCAATGTGTCTTTTCTGACACATGGTTCGAGTTGTGGTTCACATTTACTAATAGAGGAGCTTTCCATGAAGGCGAAAAGTGCACTTAGCCTGGCTCTGGCTGCTGGTATCGCCAGCACCGCAGTTGCCAACAACACCCCAACCAAGATTGACGCTACCGCTGCTCAACTGCGGCACGCAGGTCACATCTACTTCAACATCGCTACCGGCGAGAAGATCACCACTGTGATCAACCAAGGTGACGCTCAGCAAGCTGTTGACGGCACCGAAGGTACGGAGATCTGGATTGCTGACACTGGTGCTCAGTGTGCAGACCAAGGCTTCTCCACCAGCTTCTTCTTCGGTCTCGATGACGCAGACGCAGCAACACCAACTTCGCTGTCGCTCAACGCAGTCAACATCGACTGGGGTGACATCGCGTTTGACACTGTCGTTGACTGTGTTCAGATCCACTGGGTCTCCGACCACGCTGATACCGACACCGACTCCGACAGCAACGCTGACGGTATCGAAGGTTTCGCTGGTACATGGACCTACTGGGACGGCATGAACGGTCGCTCGCCACAGCTCGATTCGATCGCATTGCCAATCATCCAGTTTACCTTCTTCAGCCTCCCAGGTGAGTTCCCTGCGGACACCGCGACCCTCGTCTTCTTCACAGCAGACATCGACCTCGGTGCGACCTTCGCGAGCTCGCTCACCTTCGAAATCGGTGACACCGATTCCGACATGCAGGGTGCAGCGGTACACACTCCACGCTTCGACCTGCGTGACAATGACTCGGACTCGATCCCTGACATCGATCCTGACGGCGACAGCCTCGCTGACTGGGGCTGGTCAATCCAGTTCAACCAGCCAGGTACCATCGATGTTGACAACGCTGACTCGGACAGCGATACCCAAACAGGTATCGACGGTGACCCAGGCGCACTGGCAACCGCAGGTATCGTCTTCGGTTCGCCTACCCCAGGTCACGCTGAGATGGACACCGCTGGTGGATGGAGCTGGGTCTCTGACGGCCCAACCGCTGGTGCTACTGAGGACGCATTCGCTCTCGGTACCACTCAGAACCCAGACGGCTCAGGCTTCCTGACCATCGCTGGTACCTTCTTCTTCGGTGGTCTCGAGTGTGTTGCTGACCCAACCTCCGGTCAGTACACTCCAGCTGCTCACTTCCAGACCATCCTTTACGGACCAACTGGTTGTGCTCCTGACCTCGCTGGTAACCCAGACGGTAGCCCAGACGGCACGCTGAACTTCATCGATGTTTCGGCATACCTCGCTGCATACGCAGCTGGTGACCTCGCTGTCGCTGACCTCGCTGGTAACCCAGACGGTAGCCCAGACGGTACGCTGAACTTCATCGATGTTTCGGCATACCTCGCTTCCTACGCAGCAGGCTGCCCATAATCATCGTTTGATGTTCTGAAGATTACATCTTCTACAAACCAGAACCCCCGGCACTTCGGTGTCGGGGGTTTCTTTATGTCGCAAGGTATGTGCCGCGTCAGTCAGAGTTTCGTGTTCTTACAAGTAGTGGGGGAGTTAGACCTTGGCTTTGAGCCAGCCGCCTTGGAAGAAGCGTGCAGCAAAGAGGATCCCTCGCAGGAACATCTCGCTGCAGAGTCCGATCCAGAGTGCGGTCAGGCCCGGCTCAACACCGAGCATGGTTTTGAGCAGCTTGGGGTTCTCGATGACGCCGCCGCCGAAGATTTCAGGGATCGGGATATCCACTCCGGAGAGTACATACGCGATCGGTAAGCGGATGATGTAGGTCGCGGTCCATGTCAGCGCCATCACGAACTTCACATCCCCTGCTCCACGCATTGCTGAACGGAAGACGATGGAGATCGCGAACGGGATCTGCACGATGCCGCAGATGATGAGCAGATTCGGGACGATCTGTTGGTGGAGTTCTTGCTCAGAGAGCAGCTTGGTAATTTGATGGGGGATGAGAATAAAGGCGACTCCGATCGCACCCATGATCGTCGTTGCGATGAGCGTACAACGGAACACCGCTTTTTTCGCAAGGTCGGGGCGTTTCATCCCGAGGTATTGTCCAGCGAGAGTCGCTGCGGCGATTCCCATCCCGAACCCTGGCATGAAACTGAACGCTTCGATGCGGATCCCGATGATGTGGGCACCAAGTAAGCCGTCTTGATTGAGTTGGACTGTGAGGAAACCCACAAACAGAATGATCGCGAAGTTCCCGATCCAGAGACCGAATGTTTCTAGGAAGTTGGGTATCCCGAGTCTGAACAGGCGTTGAATGGTGAGCAGGTGTGGTTTCATCCGGATGAACTTGAGCCGGATGGACCACTTCCCTGATCGCGCCATGTGTGTGATGTAGAGCGCGCCGACGATGTCTCCTGCGACAGTGCCGCAAGCGATGCCCGCAATCCCCATATTGATCCCGAGTGGGGAGGTCATGTTGTAAATTGTGATTCCGGATAGGCCCCAGCTCACAAGTATGTTCACGACATTGCGAGCAATCATCGCTTTGAGTGGAGAGATCGAATCCCCTGCTCCACGCGAACACGCGATCATACCAAAGAGGATTGAAGCCGCGGGAACACCCATTGCGATGATGCTCATGTACTGTGAGAAGAACTCAGACGCTTGCTGCGACATGTTGAGTGCTTTGGTGACGATTGGGACGAGGAGCCAGATCCCAACGCCGACAATGACCCCTGAGCATGCTGAGAGGGTGAAGGTTTGTCCAAGGACTGTGTTTGCGACTCCCAGGCGGCCCTTTCCAACAGATCTGCTGATGAGAGCCGTTGCTCCAACGCCGAGGGCCATGATGATGAGTCCGATGAGCCACATGATGTAACTTGCACCCCCGATCGCGTCTGTTGCGGCTTCGCCTTGCTCAAGACCCGCTGACAGTGCGGTGTCCACAAGTCCCACAAAGGAGTTCAGGAAGCTCTCAGTGACCACGGGCCAGGCGAGGATCCAGATCGCTTGGTTCATTGTAAGTCCTGCGAGCTTTCCTTTACGGAACTTGCCGTCGCTGGAGAGCTCGGTCTGGCGGACCGTGCTCAGGGTGACCGCTGGTACAACGGTCATCTCTTCCTGATCTGGATCGACGCCAACTTCATCGACATGCTCAGACATGTCGAGGTCTTCGTACTGGTCGTCAGAGGGTGGCGGGGTGCTGGTCATCGGCGGGCTCTCTCAACGCCAATGCTCAGCGTGATGAAGACTGTAGATTCTTTGCTCTCTGTTGAGTGGCTTTATCTGTGTGTTGGTTGCAGATTCTTACCAAGTGCCAATTTTACAGAACGTATATTATCGGTCTTTGGATCTGGAGTCGCTCATTCATGGATTCGGCAAAGAAATGGCTCGGATGCGGTCATGTCCAACTGATACTTGGATCTCTTGAGCAGGGTGGAGTATTCCATCAGGCATGCTTGGTGTCCTCGCAATCTCGCCATCGACTTGGACGAGAGATGGACTGGAGCCTCCGGTCACGATGATATTTGTCGCTCTACGCCTTCGGGACCTCAAGATTGGTAAGCGGCATCGAGCAAGCAGTCCTTGTGTGGACCAGACTGGGGTTGAGCCGCATCGGCACTCAAGCAGATCTAGCTTGCTGTCAGCTGGGTCAGCGTGATTGCAAGGGTTGAGACCCAACGCGTAGGAGCGCATATTTGCAATCAGTAGATTGCTCCGAGGGAACTCGGCGAGTTGCTCTCCGTCTACCTGTATCTGAACTGAAGCTGGATGTGGGTGGAAGACCTCGCTTGTGACTGGGAGCACATAGTTCCGGAATCCTCCTGAGCTTGTTCTGCTGGATTCAAAGCGGTGGATCACGCTCGCGTCCATTCCGAAGTTGCACATGATAAGAAACGGGACTCCATCCAGGCGCGCGACATCGACTTCCTTAGACCCCCCCTGCTCGATCCAGTTTGTGATGGCGGCAGGACTCCGGGGCATTTTTAGCTCTTTGGAGATGAGATTGGATGTCCCTGTGGCGAGGTGATAGAACGGGACTTGGTGCTTGATCAGGAATGGGAGTGTGTGGTGCACAGTCCCATCGCCTCCGATGATGATAACACGATCCATTTGGGCAAAGTGATCATCAGATTCGCTGAGATCATGCGGATCGACACGGATGATGGTGTGTTTGCGGTCGCTCAGTACCAAAGAACAACGATCAGCGAGCGTGGCTGCTTTGTTGCGTCCTGATCTGGTGTTGACGATGAGACCGATGTGCACTCAAAATCCTCCTACAGCTCCCCTATCGGCCCTATGATGGCTTTCCATGCAAGCAACAGTACAGACATCACGGGATCATGAATCAGCATACGCCGCGGCTCAGAAGGTCGTCGAAGTCCATCACGCACTCGCGGACTTTCTTGCAGCGGGACAAACGCTTGCCGAGATCGATCGGTTCGTTGGTGAGACCATTCGGAGACTGGGTGGGACCTCATGTTTCTACAAGTATCGTCCGGGTCGGATGCCACCCTTCCCTTCCCAAGCATGTTTGAGTGTTAACGACTGCGTTGTCCACGGCACGGCTGGTTATCTCACTCGTCCTATGGAACAGGGGGATGTCCTGAGCATCGATATCGGCGTCAAGTATCACGGCTGGTTTGGTGATGCGGCGTGGACCTACGTGTTCGGTGAAATGAATGACGAGATCAAACGGTTGACAAACTCTGGGAAGGAGTCACTCGAGGAGGGAATCAAAGAACTCCGTCCGGGTAATACCTACTTGGCTTGGGCGAAGCGCGTTCAGGGAATTGTTGAAGGCGACTATGGCTTTCATATGATCCGAGGTCTGGGTGGTCATGGGTGCGGACGCAAGCTGCACTCATCGCCTTGGATATCCAATGTCGTTCCTTCATATCCAGGCGAATGGCCGGATGCGAATCTCGCGTGCACTCCTGGGACAATTGTTGCTGTTGAACCGATGATCGGTGTTGGGACTGGGATGATCGAGCAGGCGGATCGGGATTGGCCGATCTACACGGCGGACCACTCCATGTCGGTGCATTACGAGCATGATGTCCTCATCACTGAGGAAGGGCCTGAGATACTCACGGCTGGTCTGGAACAAGTCACGGATGTGATCACACGATGAATCGGATTGACGCAAAATTCAAGAATGCGAAGGAATCCAACCATCCGGTTTTGCTGCCTTTTGTGTGTGCAGGATCCCCCGCTGTTGATTCGCTCCCTGAACTGCTCGTTGCGTTGCAGTCAGGCGGTGCATCGGTCGTGGAGATCGGGTTTCCGTACTCGGATCCCGTCGCGGATGGCCCGACGATTGCCGCGGCGATGCATGACGCGATCGAGGATGGGATGACTCCGGACCTGATCTTCGAGCAGGTCGCATCGGTCCGCGATGATCTAGAGATTGGTTTGGTCGCGATGGTCTCGACGAGCATCGTGATTGCATTGGGTGGTCCTGATGCGTTCTGCAAGCGAGCGAAGGATGCGGGGTTTGATGGGTGTATCTTCCCTGATCTGGTGTTTGAGGAGTCTGGGCCGTATGTCGAGGCGTGCAAGAGTCACGGGCTCACCAACTCGCTGCTGATCTCGCCTTCGACAGCGATTGAGCGTGCGGGGGAAATCTCCAAGGCATCGAGCGGTTTTGTCTACATGCTCGCTCGAGCGGGGATTACAGGCGAGCGGAGCGAGATTCCCGACATCGGGGATCGCGTGCGTGATCTTCGGATCAAGTCCCCCACTCCCATCGCATGCGGTTTCGGGATTTCTACTCCGGAGCAAGTGCGAGCCGTGACGCAGCACGCGGACGGCGCGATCGTGGGCAGCGCTCTTGTGCGTCGATTGATTGACGCGAAGGCGGCTGGAAAGAACCCCGCTCAGGAGGCGGAGGCATTCCTGATGGAGCTGTCCACAGGATCGTTCTCGATGGATGACCTAATGGGCTGAGCTATTAGCTGCAAGCTGCAGAGCAGTTCTTGAGTGCGGCGCTGATTGCTTGGTCCAGATCTGCGATCAGATCGTCAGCATCTTCGATACCAACCGATAGGCGGACGAGGTTGTCGTCGATCCCGAGTTTCTCGCGCTGGTCTGCAGGGACCGATGCGTGGGTCATGATGCCGGGATGCTCGATGAGCGATTCGACGCCTCCGAGCGATTCGGCGCACGCGAAGAGCTTGGTGTTCTCAAGCATGATGCGTGATTCGTCGATGCCGCCGCGGAGGTACATGGTGATCATGCCTCCGAATCCGGGCATTTGCTTCTTTGCGAGCTCGTGCTGTGGGTGGGATTCGAGACCTGGGTAGATCACACGCTCGACGCCCTCGTGGTTGTCGAGGAACTGCGCGACCTTCGCGGCGTTCTCGCAGTGACGCTGCATGCGGACATGGAGGGTCTTGGTCGAACGCAGGAGCAGGAAGCATTCCATGATTCCAGGGACCGCGCCCTCGGAGAGCTGGATGAACTTGAGTTTCTGGTGGAGCTCGTCGGAGTTGGTCAGCAGCGCGCCGCCGATGGAATCGGAGTGCCCACCAATGTATTTCGTGGTTGAGTGGCAGACGATGTCGGCACCGAGCGAGAGTGGGTTCTGGAGGTACGGGGTCGCGAATGTATTGTCGACCGCGAGGATGATGTCGTTGCTCTTGGCGATCTTGGACACGGCTTCGATGTCCGTGATCTTGAGTGTTGGATTGGTCGGGGTTTCGAGCCAGATGAGTTTAACGCGGTCGTCGATCGCGTTCTTGATCGCGTCGTGATCGGTCATGTCTACCAAGACGGTTTCGATCCCGAGCTGAGCGAATACGCGATGGAAGAGGCGGTTGGTGCCGCCGTAGACGTCATCTCCGAGGAGGACCTTGTCTCCGCTACTGAGCAGGTGGAGCACGACTCCGGTCGCGGCGACTCCGGATGAGAAGCACAAGCCGTGCTTCGCGCCTTCGAGATTCGCAAGGTTCGCTTCAAGCGCGGCTCGCGTTGGGTTCGCGGCACGTGAGTAGTCGTACTCGCCGACGATTGAGCCGGGAGATTTCTGGACGTAGGTGGAGGTCTGATAGATCGGGGTCATGATCGCGCCGGTCGATGGATCGGGTGTTTGTCCCGCGTGGATGGCGCGTGTAGCGAACTTGTGCGAATCGTTGATATGCATGTTGGGTACTCCTCCCAGTTGAACACCGGGCGTGGATGAAATATTCGTGTTTACTTTGAGTGCTTGCTGAGGTGCTCGATGAGGTCGATCTGCGAGATGACGCCGAGGATGGTGTTGGACTCGAAGACGAGCGCGACCTGATCGGCACCGAACACGCCGTAGAGTTCTTCAACGCGTGCTTTGGGGTGCAGAAGTCCTCCGAGCTCGTTGGCGATGCTCGATGCGGGAGAAGCGGAGCTCGTCGTCCCGGCTTGCATCGCGCGGAGGATGTCGACTTCGTGGACGATCCCGGTGGGTTTGCCGCTCGCGTCGGTGAGCGGGACCTGCGAGATGCCGTTGGTTCTGAGTGCTTCGATGACCTGCCCCACTGTTGCGGTGTTTGGGAGCGAGATGACTTCGCGCGAGCGATCGATGAGGTCTTCGATGATCCCGAGTCCCTTGTCAGGTTCGAGGAAGCCGTGCATCTTCATCCATTCGTCGGATAGGTACTTCGTGACATAGCGAGTCCCGGAGTCTGGGCAGATCGCGATGACCTTCTTGTCGGGTCCCATTTGCTTGGCGATCTCGCACGCGATGTGAACCATGCCTCCGGATGATCCGCCGCAGAAGAGGCCTTCCTCGCGGACGAGTCGGCGGGCCATGGTGAAGCACTCGTAGTCGTTGACTTGGTACATATCGTCGATGACGGATGGATCGAATGCTCTACAGACGATGTCCTCTCCGAGACCTTCGACCTTGTAGACATAGGGGGTGCTTGGCTTTCCGGTGTGGAAGATCGAGTAGTGGACCGAACCGAGCGGATCGACACCGATGATCTTGGTGTCGGCACCCATCTTCTTGAAGTAGCGTCCGATGCCTGACGCGGTCCCGCCGGTTCCGGTGCCGACGACAATCGCGTCGACTTTGCCGCCGTCGGTTTGTTCGTAGAGCTCGCGTCCGGTGGAGAGCTCGTGCGCTTCGATGTTCCACTGGGAGTGGTACTGGTCCATGTAAAACGAGTTGGGAGTTTCTTCAGCGACGCGTTTGGCGACGTTGACGTAGTGGTCTGGTGAATCACCAGGCACATCGGTTGGGGTGATGATAACCTGAGCGCCGTAGGCGCGGAGGCCGTCGATCTTCTCTTGGCTCATCTTGTCGGGCATCGTGAAGACGGCTTTGTATCCCTTGGCGGCTGCGGTCATCGCGGCGCCCATGCCTGTATTTCCAGAGGTGTTTTCGACGATGGTTCCGCCGGGCTTGAGGAGCCCTTCTTTCTCGGCCATCTCGATGATGTAGCGGGCCATGCGGTCCTTGATCGATCCTGCGGGGTTCATGAACTCGCACTTTGCGTAGACCGTCGCTCCGGATGGATCAGCGACCTTGTTGAGTTTGACGAGGGGTGTGTTCCCGATCGCATCCAGCACAGATTCGAAGATGGGGGCGGGCTTGGTCGATGCGGGGGATTCTTTGGTCATTGTCATGCGTCGATTGTAGGTTCTCTGGTGTCTCTGCACCAGTTGAATTGGCTGTCGCTGCGAGCACCTGCTACGATGATGCATCGGCCCCGTAGCTCAGCGGTTAGAGCACGCGACTCATAATCGCTTGGTCCCCGGTTCGAATCCGGGCGGGGCTATTTACTTTCCGGATGAATAGCTCGTTGACGATTGTTATTCAACTGTCCAAGATTTGTTCCCGGTGATGAGCGATTGCAGATCCATGCCCCTGCCGTCAGCTTGCGCATGCTCAATCTGGTCGTGGAGTAACTGGTTATATGTCGGTTTGCTCGGATCAGCGTAGAGAATACCCATCGGCTCTGGGAACTCTGGGTACGCCATCTTCGAGTACATGCTCGCGAGGATCGGATCAGTCTCATCGTGAATTATCAGGTCGTTCTCGCTGATCCCATCCTGTCCGATTGTTACTTTCTCTGGTCTTCCATTGTTGAAACGGATGCCTTTATCTCGATCGGTGCCGTAGATCAACGGCTTGCCGTGCTCAAGCATGACGGTGTTCTCAGGATTGGTGTCTTTTTGCGACGCGTAGAACCATGCCTTATGGTTGAAGATATTGCAGTCTTGATAGACCTCTATAAACGCGGTGCCGCGATGCGCCATGCCTCGCTGGATAATGTTATCGAGATTCTGCATATCGACATCGAGACTGCGCGCGATAAAGGTGCATCCCGCGGCGACCGCGAGCGCGATGGGATTCACTGGGAAGTCAATCGAGCCTGCCGGTGAGGTCGGTGTGATCTTTCCCGTTTCGCTGGTGGGTGAGTATTGACCCTTGGTGAGTCCATAGATTTTGTTGTTCAGGAGAATGATGGTGATGTCCACATTCCGGCGCATCGTGTGGATGGTGTGATTGCCACCGATCGAGAGGAGGTCGCCATCCCCGGAGACGACGCAGACCTCAAGATTTGGATTTGCACATTTGACACCCGTCGCGACCGCGAGAGCTCGTCCGTGGATGGAGTGCATGCCGTAGGTTTCGACATAGTACGGGAAGCGTGCGGCACATCCGATGCCTGAAACAAAGACAAAGTCTTCCTTCTTGCGTCCGATCTTGGGGAGCACCTTGCGGACTGCTGCGAGTGCTGCGTAGTCACCACAACCGGGACACCAGCGGACATCCTGATCCGTAGTGAAGTCTTTCGCGGTGTAGATCGGGAGCTTGGTTTCGGTGGTGCTCATGATTCGATCACCTCCATGATTCGCTCGACGAGTGTGTCGACTTTGAAGGGCTGACCCTTGACGATGTTGATGCCGTGAGTTTCGATGAGGAACTGGGAGCGGATGAGCATGCTGAGTTGTCCAAGATTGATCTCTGGTATGACGATCTTCTTGAATGAACGCAGGACCTGCTCAGTATTGGAAGGCATCGGATTAAGGTACTGCAGGTGCGCTGAGCTGACCTGATGTCCGCGTGCCCGGATGAGCTGGACGGCTGTCGTGATGGTGCCGTAGGTTCCTCCCCATCCGAGTACGAGTGTGTCGCCTTGCTCTTCACCATTGACTTCGAGCAACGGGATTGAGTTCGCGGCTCGTTTCACTTTCTCCGCACGCAGTCTGACCATTTTGTCATGGTTGTCAGGGCCGTAAGAGACATTGCCTGTTTTGTCTTCCTTCTCCAAGCTACCGACGCGGTGTTCCAGACCTTCTGTGCCTGGGATTGCCCAAGCTCGTGCGAGCGTCTCTGGATCACGCTCGTATGGGAAGAACTCAGAATCCTCGTATTGATCCTTTGATGGATGCAGGACTTTGATCTCCGGGATTGAGTTCACATCCGGCACTTTCCAAGGCTCGGCTCCGTTTGCGATGTATCCGTCAGACAGGTATATCACTGGACACATGTACTTCGTTGAGAGACGGACGGCTTCGATCGCCATATTGAAACAGTCCGCGGGACTCCTTGGCGCAACAACGATTACAGGGCTCTCACAGTGCCTGCCATACATCGCTTGGAGCAGATCCGCTTGCTCAGTCTTCGTGGGCATTCCGGTCGCTGGACCGGCACGCTGAACATCTACAACGACGAGCGGGATTTCGAGCATCAGAGCGAGTCCAATCGCTTCACCCTTGAGTGCCAAACCGGGTCCAGAGGTCCCGGTCACACCAATGTCTCCCGCAAAGCTCGCACCGATCGCGGTACAGACCGCCGCGATCTCATCCTCCGACTGGATGGTTTTGATTCCGAATCGTTTCAGGTGTGAGAGTCCATGGATGATGTTGGATGCAGGCGTAATCGGATAGCTTGCATAGACGATTGGTTTGCTCGCTTTTTGAGAAGCCGTCACGAGTCCGAGTACAGTTGCTTCATTGCCGCTGATTTGGCGGTAAATCCCAGGCTCTTGTTTTGCTGGTGGGACTCGATAGCGAGAGGGGAAGATCTCAGCGGTTTCTCCGAAGTAATACCCCGCTTCGAGCGCTTGGATATTGATCTTCGCAATCTCCGGAAGGTTCTTCTTCCCTGAGAACTTCTTGGTGAGGTAGTCCTTGGTATTGTCGATGGGGCGCTCGTAGAGCCAATACACGATCCCTAATGCGAACATGTTTCGGCAGCGGTTGATGTCTTTGGCGCCCATTCCGGACTCAGCGAGCGATTCTTTGGTCAGTCGCGACATCGGCACCTTGATCAGTGCGTACCTATGTTCGATCTCAGGATCCTCGAGGGGGTTATAGCCGTCGAGGTATCCGCATTTGGAAAGATTGCCCTTGGTGAACTCGTCCTCATTGACGATGACGATTCCGCCGGGCTCGACATCATCGATGTTGACCTTGAATCCAGCGGGATTCATCGCGACCATCGCATTGACCCGATCGCCAGGGGTATAGATATCCTGACTCGAAAACTGGATTTGGAATCCCGAGACACCAAAGGTAGTTCCTTTGGGGGCACGGATTTCTGCCGGGAAGTCCGGGAATGTTGCGAAATCGTTTCCGAAAAGCGCGGAGGTGTCTGTGAACTGTCCGCCGGTGAGTTGCATCCCGTCGCCGGAATCCCCGCAAAAGCGAATTACAACCGACTCAAGTGTTGTGAGTTCATTGTCCATCGTTAGGTCAGCTGGCATCAGTGCCTCACTGTTGGCGGTTCTTGGGGCCTGCTTGTTCCCGGTGAACCGAGGTGGATGATCATTTTAGGCCCGAACTCAGTGATATTTTCATAGTTGGCTCGCTGACTTGACGGCGATGGGGCAGCTGTGATCAGGCTTCGAAACTCGACCAATTCATATGGAATGGATACAATCACGGCGCATCATTGCGGGTGTAGTTCAGTGGTAGAACGTCAGCTTCCCAAGCTGAATGTCGTCGGTTCGATCCCGATCACCCGCTTTTGAGAGTTCCACATGGCCAAATGCTCAAATGGGACTCTTCATTCATTGGAATGAGAAAAAACACCCGCACCGGTCGGCGCGGGTGTTTTGTTATTTTACTACTACTCGCAACACTTTCACGGGCAGTTTGCGAACTCGTTGAGATAGGCTGAAACATCGAGGAAGTTCAGTTGCCCGTCGTTCGTGAAGTCCGCAGCGAGTTCTCCATTTGCAAACAATGCGAGATATGCTGAGACATCAAGGAAGTTCAGATCGCCGTCTTTATTGATATCTGCGATGCAAGTATCAGGGTTACAAGAGACACCGATGATGCGTACATCGTCGATACCTGCTTCCACCACAGAGCCATCACCTAGATCGCTCGCGACGAACTTGATGCGAACTGTTGAGGTCAAATCCACAAAATCGCTGACATTGAATCCTGTTTGGATCCAGCCGCCAGATGTGCCGGCGCCAGATGGGCCGACAGTTTCGACGAGCTCATAGTTCATGCCATCGTCATCGGAGACGAATACTTGGAACACATCAGCGTTTGGAGAAGCTCCGGTATCGTTGGAGTACCAGCGTGCGTAGGAAATGGTTGCTGACTGGGTACCAGTCAAATCGATCAGATTACTGACCAGCGAGGTTGTTCCTCCATCGATGTCATTCTCACCGAGTCCGCCACCTGGGGTGCCTTGACCGGTGACCCAAGCGACCATTCCGTCGGCGGTGTTATCGTCCTCCGGTTGGGCTTCTGTACCGATCGGGTTCACCCGGACCCAGACACCTGTAGTGGCATTATCTCCTGGTGCGCCTGCTGTGAAGCCAACCGGAGACTCAAAGTCGTACAGATTGTCCAAGTCGATTTGATCAGCGGCCAATGCCGTGAATGTTCCTGAAGCAGGTGCGTTCACAGTGGTGCCGGATTGCAGATCAAACGATATGAAGTATTCGACATTCGTTGGGCAGTCCATAGGCATTGGGAAGGTGGCCGTGAAGCTTGTCGAGGAGTCTTGATTTAGCGGGAACTGTTGGAATCCTGAGCCTGTGTCGACATGGAAAGTTCCGCTGCCCGGGACGACTGGGTCTTCAGGTGATGGCACGATCTCTACACTCAAAGTGTCACCACCGGTTGATGAAATCAGATCCGGAGTTCCTTCCGGCAGCAAGATCTCGAGTCCCGTCACAAAGATACCACCAGCGGATTCGATCTCGCTGCGATAGATTGCCGAGCCGGTCCACCATGAGATGTCACCATACACGCTGTTGTTGGTGGTTCCTCCTGAGAGGACGCCCGCGATGACCCATTCGTTTCCGAACTGAACCATCACCGGTCCACCACTGTCACCTGGTGCGGTTGTGGCTTCAAACTCAAGCGGCGTCGAGCTGCTGCTAGGGATGGTGTTGGCCGATCCAGTGCCGTTGTCGAAATCGGTTGAGATGATGTTCGAACCACCGGCACTCGCGGGACTGCCGTAGGCGTCGATGATGTTTTCACCGCCCCATCGGCGGCCATCGGCACTGAATCCGTGTCCGGCGCTGCCGAGGCCGTTGTAGCCGTAACCGAGGGTTGCGGCAACCATCCCTTCGAGATCGTTCGTCTCGTCGATCAGTCGCACCGGTTCCGCGATGTTTGCTGGGACTGTCGCATTGAGGACATGGATGGAAACATCACCGCCGTCTAGGAGCGAGCCGTTACCATCTGGGAGGGTAGAAGACTGGACTGTGGTGCTGAAGGTTGGGCTATTCGAGTTGTCACCGAACCGCACGAGGGTCCCAGCACCGATACCGCAGTGGCGTGCGCTGAGGACGACATTGGGTGCGATGAGCGTTCCTGTGCAACCGCCGATTCTCACGACAGCATCGAATGGAGCGGCGTAGTCTCTTGAACCCTGTGCGCCGATTGTGTTATTGATCACGATACGAGGAAAAACGCTTTCAGCAGCTTCAGGAGAGCCCGGTTCGTAGGTCTTGGTGTCGATCTGACGCATGGATAGCACATCTGCAGTGGCGGCATCGATCACCAACTCAAAGTGTGTTGGGCTCGCAGGTAATCCAAGATCCCGAAGCTCCGATGTGACTTCCCATGCCAAGAGGGCTTCATTTCCACTTCTGAACCAAACTTGTTGCGCTACAGATTCCATCGCTTCAGGCACGAGTGTTTCGGTCAGATCGATCGCAGTGTTCATCGCGACATTCGCTGGGGCGTTGCGTAGAGCAAGGGTTTCAGTCGAGTCGTCGTAGACTTGTGAAACAGTGCCGTCTGCGTTTTCAACGACAATCACTTGTCCTCCATGAAGTGGAAGATCGCCGATGAATTTTTGGAAGATCAAGACATCGTGCGGTGTCCGGATCACCGGCTCTGATATTTCAATCCGGGAATCGTCTTGCTGCAAATATTTGGTCGCTTCAGTATTCGCTAAATGTGCTCTTGCGCTGTCTTCATCTGCGTAGCACATGCTGCTCAAGACACAGCCAGCTGTCAGTACCACACCAGTAGTTTTTCGACTCATCATTCTCATGAACTCCTCAAAGTCTGTGATTCGGTGATCGTTTGTAGGTCATTGCAGGGAACGCTGATCTATTGAAATTGGATCGAGCGTAACCGTCTTGCACGATTGGCGTGGCAGTGGGTTGAATACACGAAAACACAAGCATCGTGTATCACTGCCGTACGGATTTGATATTGAGCGGCCTCATGAAATCTAGAACAGATTCCAGCCAAATGGAAAAACTCTTCTTTTAACGAAATGGAAACCCCATAGTCTCGATTCTGAGTGGGACCCTATATTTCACATTACTCCCTGAAACACACAACGATTTAGACAGACCTACCCTAACAGAAATGCACTCAAATTCCAAGCAGAAAAGCGTAATCAATAGCGTTTTGATCACCCTTTGAGCCGCTTCAGGGTCTCTACCAAGAGTGGCTGAGCGTTTCGCAAGCACGCCTCTGATTCTGGGAGATGTGAATCAGCTGCTGCAGACCATGCTCGGTTGAGCTGCCGTTCCATTGCCGCAAAGCTATCCATGAGTTCTGCATAACCTGACAATGACAATCGATTGACTAGCGCAGGTTTGTCTGATACGAAGGCAGGCACATCATCCCGTTGAATTTCACCAACATGAAGTAATATCGCAGCGAGTCGATTTTCTTCATCCTGCGACTGCTCAAGTTCGGATGCAAGTTGATTCAGCCGTCCTGATAATCGAGCAAATACTGAGGCCGCATCAGTGGATTGCATTGTGTCTGTGCTTTTGGATAAATCAGCATTCTTGAGCTGATTCTGGACGGCTCGACGAACCATAAACGCACCAAGCAGCAGTCCTAAGCAGGACAGGCCAAACAGCCAAGCATAGTACCATCGTGTGATACTGAACTCGGTGACTTTGACATAGGCTACATTTGATTCAATGAGCAGCTCAACGAGCTCGTTAGTCAAACGATCTCCGCTGCGTGCTATGGGTATTCTTGCTTCGCGCGATTGGAGAACCGACTCACCTGTTTCTGCAGATTCCACGGCTGGGATATCCGTGGATGCGCGTGGAGGTGTGGCAGGTTTCAGAGGATTCGTTTCCTTCGCGCCTTCCGCATCGAGCTCGGCACGGATGATGTCCAGTCTATTCTTGAACTCTGGGTCTACTGTCTCTGGGTCGTAAACACCAGCAGGTGAACCGAGCCGAAGATTGGTTAGATCCTGCGGATTTGACTTGTCCAACTTGACAAGGTATGCGGTACTGCTCGCGAGTGTGCCGACAATGACCGAAACGGTGATGAGTATGTATGCGAATATTCTCATAGTGTTGACCTAATGGCTAGTGGCTGATGTGCTTGCCGAATCAAATGAACGGTTTGTTCATCCAGTAAGCAAGACAATGGCATTCACTCCGAGCGCGAGCACCGCATCTCCAACGATGAAACCAGCTGCGACTGGGACCCCCCACTCTTCCGCCCAACTCGCGCCTTTCAGCTTGCTGACTAGCATGTTGATGACACAGCCGACACCGTAGGTTGCGATGTATGCGAAGGGGAGGTACATGGACAGTCCTACCAGAACTCCGAGTCCAGAGAACGCGCCGAGTCCAAGCAGTGCGCCAATCACTGCACCGACCCCGTAGAGGGCGTATGGCATTGCACCACCCTGGACGCCGGTGATGACAGCTTGCAGCGCTTGAGCTTGGGGAGCGGATGTATCGGTACCTGGTCCGATTGGGATACCAAACTTCGTCTGATTGCCTTCAACAATGATCAGCAGAACGATCATTGTGATGATCGGGCCAATACCTGTAAAGATAAGCTCTACGGTCTGCTGGCGCTTCGGTTTGGCGCCAACTAGGTACCCGGTCTTGAGATCCGCCATCATGTCTGCCGCGCAGGTGATCGCGACACACAGTGCTGCTCCGATCAGAACAGCTCCAAGCACACCTCCTGGCCCTGAGAGCAGCATGACAAGAACTACAGTGAGCAGGGCCATCCCAGAGATGGGGGACCAGTCCGTCATGCCGGTGCACTGTGCGATGATGATCCCAGCGAACCAAATCCATAAAGCTCCAACAACTGCTATAATCGCGGCGCGAATATGCGGGTTCAACTCAGCAAGCAGGCCCTTTCGAGTCGCTGAAAATGGGGTCATGACTGCTGCTTGATCTTCTGTAGATGCTTGCTCGAAGGTCTCCAGTGCAGGCTCATCAAGAAAAGCGACCGTATAGCCGTTGTATTCTGAGGTGTATCCGTCATACTCGATTGGCTTTTCAGTCACTGGGCAGACTGAGTTGATCGGTTGGTTCCCAGTGAAGTCCGCAGCTACAAACAGGAAGAGCAACGCACCCGCAACGGCAGCGATCAATACCCTCAACCCCAGTTCATCACTGCCTGATGCCGCTGACTGAGTTTTGCTCGCAGCCGCGATGGATTTGAACGCTTCACGAATCGCAGGCATCGATGCGATAACGCCCATAAGTGCGCCGCCGAGTAATAAACCAATTCCGAGCGGGCGGTTTACACTTCCGAATCCATAACCGGCTGCACCTGCTTCAGACACAGTCGCGGGCATCCAACCAAGCGCATAGATGAGTGGGTTCAATACGCCATAAGCGAGTATGCCTCCTGCGAGCACCAGCAGACCAGCGCGGCCGGTCAAGAAACCGGCTCCGAGTGCAAACGGAGCAATAGCAAACAAGAGTTGGATCTGGATCGGAAGACCAAGGATCCTTCCTACATCAATGGTGTCATCGGTTACAAGAAGATCTGGGATGCCATTGCGATCGAGATCCGTTGAAGGTGTAAGCACATCGCTGGTCACGCCCGGCCCATTGAATGCGAAATCAACCGGTTCAGAATCAGATTGAATCCTCGGTGTGATACGTAGCTGAAGATCTGCATAACCGAACATCGGATCCGCTGCCCAACCGGTCTTGATGCTTCTCAAATCTGACCAGGGGATATCGCCAGAATGAGCGCGATGCGCGAGTACGGCGAGTTCCAGCGGATAGGAAGTCAAGCGAGCACGATCGATGGGCTCATCTAGCAGATTTTTGATTTGACTCAATGCGAGTGCATTCGCATCAGAGATCTGCCATTGGAGCTCTTCGACTCTCTTCGTCGAAGTAGAAACTTCTTCATCGCTCAGTTCTTCGCGTTGCTTTGGTGCGATGGCTTCCTTCGCTTGAAGTAGCTCAGTTTGTAGGCGTCCATGTTGTACCAATGACGCAGGCGCTTCTTCAGCGGATATCCAAGAATCTATTTGTTGGGTCAACAGCAAGTCGGCTCGTGAGATCCGTTCCTGATCGACCAGTTCTTGAAGATTCTCAATATCCGCAGTCTTCTTGAGTTGTGGGAGTTGGGCGGGGAGTCCGATGAGCACCGCGAGCACGATTCCCACAACAAGAATGACAGCTTTCTTAGAACCAGCACCTGGAGATTTCAAAATAGCAGCGACGGCGGTTGCGGAAGGGAATCGCAATCGCTCGATATCGAGCATTTGTTTCCGCAGTGGGATTATGAATGCACCACCAAGGACCGCGCCACATACGCATGCGAGTGTGATGAGCCAGAAGTCAAGTCGTCCTGCTGACAGTTGAAACCCGAGGAGGAGAAGAACTGGAACTGTGAAGATCACTCCGGAGTTCGGGGTGTTCACTGCTGATGCGATGGTTTGGACTACATTGGTCTCGAGAATGGACCCTTTCCTGAGTATGCCTCGCAGTAGTCCAAAGCCGATAACTGCAGCGATAGCAGATCCAACGATCGTGAACCCAATTTTGAGCCCGGCGTAGGTGATCGCGGCATTCATGATTGTGCCGATGATGAGACCAAGCACAATTGCAGCCGGCGTCACCTCTCTGTATGGGGGTTTCGAGTGAGACGGGGGGGAGGGGTCGGTCATATATTTTTCCTTGCTCCCTGAACCTGGATGAGCCTTGAGTCACTGGGCAAAGTGCGTCATTGATTCGTGTATCATGACCGATTTCTCGTTAAGGAGCAAGTTGGGTAAGACAGTTTATCCAAGCGTATGTATATCAGTCACATACACACGAAGCGCTTGTTTGCATGTAGCACACAGAATTCAAGTTGGTAGATTGGTGGACACAAAAATAGTTGTAAGCACAGCAACGATATCAACGCGATCTGATGAGTCAGAAGGACTCGCGTTCGCCTGTTCTGAGAGGGATTCGAATCTCGATGTCCCGAGCCTTCTCGGCGGTATAGCTCAGGCCGATCATTTTGCCAGCATTCCCGAGAACGAGAAATCTGAATGTACTCAACGACTCGCCAGGAATGCCATCATCGACCAGAAATCTATTTGGACGATCTTGCGTTGGTGTCATTGTTCGATCGCTACGGTCCTCTAGTTGGCTAGACAAGATGACATCCGCTCCGGTGAGTGTAATCAGGTCTGGCAATCCAATGCCCTTCTTCGCCGCAATGGCTAGGCGTGTCGGAATAATTTGTGTATTTTCAATCTCAACGGTGACTTCCCAAAGATTATTCCCAAGATCTTCAACACCAACCCACTTGAACTCCAGCTCAGGCATTGAGGCGGCATGGAACATTGTGAATGCAAAGTTCCGGTGGCATCCTTCCTCCAGCATGAATGGAGGCGTGACACGAGAAGAGAACTTGGTGCCGCCGCCGATGAGTATCTTGCCGTGGGTCGGATGTTCGTATTCGGTGTAGTCGGTAAAGGTCTGGCCGAACAACATGCGGTCTTGCCAGTGCATCCGCTCCTCATCAGTGAACTCTCTGCTCGGATCAGGCATCATTCTTCGATTAGTCCAGAGCTCATTGGTGAAGCTTGCGATACCAAGCCCCTCAGCCATCCAGTTTACAAACCCGCCGTGAACGGTGTAAAGATCGGAATGGATGACCCAGTAGTTGTAGTACGGCAGTAGATCTTCTCCAGCTTTACCGAGTTTGTCGTACATCTGACGATCGCTTCTTGGATACAGATTCTCAAGGTAGTTGGCGCCAGGACCACGGAGTAACATCCCGCCAGTGTTGTGATAGCTCTGACCGGCCGCGATATTTGGTCGGGTCAGAATAAAGTCAGCGACCGCTTTGACCTCCGGACGATCAAAGGGATATTCACCAGCGCCATACTGAATGTAGTTGGGCTGCCAATCGCTCCCCCAATTGCGGTTCATGTCATATCCACCGGGACCGTCTTCGTTGATACGCCCGTCACCATCATTGTCGATACCTTCGGAACCAACTCTTGAGAGTTCGCCTTGTTCGCCATCCGGTACACGCTCGATGATGCGTGGATCGAGCTTGTTCCTACGGAACCGTCCATTTGGATCGAACTTCCACATCTGCGTGATATGACCATCCCCATCAAGATCGTCCGGTCCGTCTTCGTCAAGCTGCCCATCGTAATCGTTGTCAGTTGGTCGCTGTCCTGTGCGGGCGCTGTGCGGAGTATTCGGATTCGCAAACCACTCGGCGCGTCCATCAGGATTGATCGAAGGGACAAAGTAGAAAGCGGTTCGGTCGATGAGCTGAGTGAGCTGATCAACTTTGCCGTAGCTCTTCGTGAGGTACCAGATTGAATACAGCACAGTCTCTGTTGCTTGGATCTCATTGCCGTGTACATTGCCATCAATGTACATAGCTGGTTTCTCAGTGTCTGGACCGGTATCTGGGTTGTTGAGTGTGACGAGCCACATATCACGCCCTTGCTCGCTTTTGCCGAGTGATACAAGTGTGAGCAGCTCAGGGTACGCCGCGACGAGATCTTTGATGATCTGCTCAGACTCTGCGAAGTTGTAGAAGCGATTCCATGCAACATCGACTTTCGAAGGAATCTGCTGTTGCGCTTGAGCAATGCCGGTGTGAGTGCTCAATACGGTCAGGAGTATGACAGCGAGCTTCTTGATGCTGCTGTATTTCTTCATTTTGAACATGTTTGTTTCTCTATTCATTGCTCACCCAGTTCGACGATGGTGGTCCCATTTCGTGGATCGTTGATGGTCACGGTTTCGTTGTTGATGTCGTCTGTTCGGAAAATCCATCGGTGTTCGGAGCGTCCGCCATCGTGATCGATTCCCCAGATGCGTCCGATGCGTTGGCCGTTGATAATGCGATCGACATCAACTGAGAGCGAAATGATCGTCGGTTTGATCGAGCGCGTTGTACGCGCGAACTTGGTGGTCGTGGGTAGATCTCCGTCGTTCACGATGGTGAGCCGGACTTCGTACAGCCCCCCACCCAGATCGACGACCTCTGGAGTCAGAATCTCGATCTGTGGTCGTGCTTCGAGCAGCTTGATCACAAACTCGGTGTGCTCGGCTGCGATTTCATCAAGTTGATCAGCAGGCGGATTGACTCTCGCTCCTGGCTTGAACCCTCCGATCTCGACCTTTCCGAGTGTTGGGTGATCGAACGGTTCCCATTCAACAAATCCATCGATGTCAGCCTCATCAAAGTAGTTCAGCCATTTCGCATCATCACTGAGTTTCTTATCCGTATTTGAAGTGTTTGCTTCTTCGCTAGACTCTGTCTGATCTGTCTGAGTGACGCGTCGGATCTCGATACCCGCTTGTGTTGCAAACTGTTCAACCATTTCCGGTGTGATCTGATTCAACATGGATTCGTCAGGTTCTTCTCCAGTCATGGCGGTGTATGCCTCTCGAAGCTCATCGAGCGTCTCCATGCTGATGTCCCCAACTGGAGATGGCGTGAGTCCGTTGCCCTCTTGCTCCACGGAGATAGATTCGTCCGTTTTGTCTTCAGTACTCTTTTGAGTATCCGGTCGAGCCCAAGGTTGAACCGCGAAACTCGGAAGACCTCGCTGCGCATACAGCCATGCCGAGAAACTCCCAGCGCTGTCGTGCTTGGTCGCTACAGAGTGTCCCGTTGCATCAGTGAACCACTCGCCGACCTCTTTGTAGAGTTCGGCGTCATCCTCATGGATTTCCAGAGGCGATCGTTTGTTGATATCTTTCTTTTTTGAGTCCGGCTGATTCACTAGGTTGTCGTGCTTCCCGATAGTGAGCGCCGCGATGATGTTGTCATGATCAAGCACAAATCGTGCGAGTGCGTAAGCTTCTGGTTCTGAAAGCGGAAACTTTCCCGCATGTGGTTGATGCTCGGGCCATCGATGCATGAAGTTCATGTTGATATCGACTGTCCCGAAGCCATCTTCGTTAATTTCACCATCCTCGTCATTATCAATGCCTTCGGGATAGAGAGTGAATGTCGCTCTTTGCCCTTTAGATACATCAGGTTCGATATTGACTCTTGGATCAACTGGATCAGTCGTGTGTGTTGGCGCGTCGTTCAGTGTCGGATTGAGGCGGCGCATCATTGTGATGTATCCATCGCTGTTGAGATCATCAGGCCCGTCTTCGTCGATGAGCCGATCACGATCCTCGTCAACAACCCTGCCATTCCCCAGCGAACCACTGAGTACTTGTCCCATATTCATCGCTGCGCCGTCCGGGTTTGCACGCGGCACGATGTAGATATCCATGCCGTCCAGCTGAGAAATGTGATCTTTCAGTATCTGCTCGCTGATGCGTACTGCGAGCTCTGTGCTCGAGAGATACATCCCATCAATCCCCGCGACAATGAGCAGCCCCGGACTAGTGCCTTTACCAGTTGAGAGCGTGAGCATGTGAATCGGATTGCCTTGGAGACTCTCTCCGATCTGCGTGAGCTGAGCGTGTTCGTCCAGAGCTATCGATTCGAGCCGATCGCTGAGTTGCTTGTTGTTCAGATACCCTTGTGGTTGGGCGAGAGCGGTTGTCCCAGCAAGTGTGAGCAATGCTGAGCAAGCCCAAGAGGTGCGTAGCGACATACATACCTTTCAGATTGGAAATAGAAAACCGAGAACCATTCACGGCCGAGCGGCCAATATTCGTACCCACACTCAAACGAGGTGGTTGCACCAGATCATACCGGATCCAAACACATTCAGGTAAGAAATGGTTCCAACTGGTACAACTGCTGCGGGTTGAATAGGTTGAGTGTTTTCACCATAAAGTTGGGAGTGCAAGTTTAGAAATCGTCATCAGTTTGGCATTTGGCCACTTCAGAGTGGAATCGATTGGTAACTGTACTGGATGTCTCGCTTCAAGTGTTCAGAGAGCACATGGTCTACAAGTCCAGGTATCGGTCCGATTTGCTCAGCGTTGATCACGCCTGGCATTCTGAGATCGCCCTTCGCGATCATGCGTGCGATGATGGCACATGGGAACGCTGTGGTGCGAGACATACTCGTAGCGCCCTGGTTGTAGTAGTCGAGGAGGTCCCATTGGTGACGGACTTGTTTCCCTGATTGATCGATCCCATCCGTGATGATCCGCATGATGGTCAGGTCCTGCTCTTCATCTTCATAAGTCCACTTCGGGAACATGAGCTTACTTATGACATCGAGCGGTCGGACACTTCCGCCGTCAACTTCGATTCGGTCTTGGCTGAACAGACCGGTCTCACGGAATACACGCATGAGTTCGATGTGTCCGGGGTATCGGAGGGTGCGTTCTTTCATGAACGGCACCTTCATCGTGTATGCGAGCGAACGCAATCCATCGGTGTTAAAAGCTTCGAGTGTGCCAAGCCCCTCGAAGTCCATGAGTTCTGGTTCGCTGAGCGCTTCGCGTACTACAACCTCTCCGTTTTCGACGATGCGTGACGGACGAGTGTACTCCTCGATCACATCCGCCGGTGAGAATCCTGCTTTGTACTCATAAGGCCAGCGGCGTTCACGCGGGAGCCCCCCCACATAGATTTCGATGTTATGACATTCTTTGAGTAGGCTCGCGCCGTATCCGGAAAGCATGTTGCTCATGCCTGGTGCCACGCCGCAGTCGACGACAGCGGTGACGCCGTGCTCCTTTGCGAGTTCATCGAGGTCCCATGAATCCTCGGGCATGAAGGAGATGTCCGCGAAGTTCTTCTTTGATTCGATGATAGCTCGAAGGGATTGGAATCCGATTCTACTCGCAAGGGCTCCGAGTACGATATCCGCGTCCTTGATCGCTGCTTTCAGTGCATCGACATTAGAGAGATCGGCTTGGCTGGTGTGAAGATTCAGACTGCGAGAAGCGGCTTGTCTTTGTGCCCGCTCGAGCGATTCATCGCTGATATCACAGAGTGTGACCTCGAAATCACAGTCGGTTGCCATGTCGAGTGCCATTTGTGTGCCGACCATACCGCCGCCGAGTACGACTGCTTTCATTCCGTACGCTCCTCAAGTACTAGTTGTGTTTGTTTGCTTACTCAGCGGGAAACAGAAACTCGATCGCTTCTGCGAACCGAGCTGACCATGCGGTTTCATTGTGCACATGCTCATCGCCAATCACAAGCTTGTGCTGATTACGGCTCACCCCAGACTTGGATGCGAGCGCTTGGTCGACTTCATTTGCCCATTCGACAAACTTCCGGTTGACTTCATCATTCTCGGAGTCTGTGCCTGCCTCTTGTGAACCCATGCCGATGTAGTATCGGCCAATCCCAGATTCTGACTCATCGATGACTTGGAGAGCCATCTTGTTGCTGAGCATCGGGAGGCTTTCGATCAGTGCTTTACCGAAGATATCGGGATGCTCTGTAGCACCGTACAGCGCCATAGCGCCTCCAAGTGAAGCCCCGCCGATCGCTGTGGAACTCGGATTCATTTCGACGCGGAATGCGCGATTGACCTTTGGCATGACCTCGTCGAGGATCCATTGCATACACGCTTTGCCATCACCTTCGATGCCTTTGTATGCACCGAACGGCATGAACTCTTGAATCCGATGTTCACCAGAATGCGGGATCCCGACGACAATCATGGGTTCGACTCGACCATTGCGGATCAACTTGGTGAGGGTCTCGTCGATGTTCCACTCCCCAGGAACATTCGGCAGCTGCTCAAACAGGTTTTGTCCATCAAACATGTACAGCACTGGGTAAGTTTTGTGACTGTTCTCTGGGGCGTTGTATTCTTCTGGGAGCCAGACGAGCAGGTCTCGGGTTGCGTTCTCTGCACCCCCACTACCACCACGAACTTCGATTCGGCGGACATCGCCGATCACTTGGAGCTCGCGATAGATGCCTTGCTCGCGGACTTGTTCCGCGAGTGATCTTGGTACTCGGAACTCAGGGATCTCAAGTTCTATGACTGGTCGTTCTCCAGGTTTGAGTTGCGAAATATCAACCAATCCAAGAGATCTGTTTGCAATCGAGTTGCCAGCCCCATCGAGTTCTTCGCGATCCCACCCTCCGAGAGTAAACTTGAACTGCATCCCAACGCCATGGAGGTTGCGATTGATCACAATTTGCCAACGGGTGTCGGATCGTCCGCTGAGCATCATTTCTTCATCTGCTGGATTCCAGCCGTTGATGCTCGAAGCGAGATAGATTGGGTTTTCTTGGTTCGCCATTCCAGAGTTGTCTTTGACAATCAGAACGAAGCCTTGTGGAAGCGTTTCAGGTCGAACTAGATCAGGTTCTTGCGCAACGCAGGACATGGTCAAAACGAACATGCAGATCGTGACAATGTAGGCTTTCATGGGATCTCCGTCTTGTGTATCCGATAGAGTTTGGATGAATCTCTGATTCAGTGCATGAGTGTAGCAAAAAAGTGCCCGTACTTGCGTACGGGCACTCGAAAATCAACTTGTTATGAATCGATTATGGACAGCCTGCCGCGAATGCGGAAAGGAATGCTGACACATCGAGGAAGTTGAAGGATCCTTCTCCAGTGAAGTCAGCAGCAGGATCCATGCTTGCGAACGCCGCGAGGAACGCAGAGACATCGAGGAAGTTCAGATCACCTTCGCCGGTAAAGTCAGGCGGGCAAGGATTCCCAACATCTGGATTCGTGAGATTGATGTACTGGTTTCCAGCGATCATGTTGAAATCAAGATCATTGGTTCCGTCTTCGTCAGAATCGCGGTTACCAATGTTTTCAGAGTTGTCAGGGATGCCACCAAGCACCTGGTTCGAAATGAACCAGAAGCCGTCATTGGCGATCCAGCCACCCATCTTCAGATCCTGGCTGCCGTCCCAGCCGAGCTCGTCAAGATCGATGCAGAGCTCGATACCGGTGTTCACAGCAGCTGCAGCAGCTGAGTCCGCAGTTGTGTCAGTCACGCCAGCGACATTTGAGTTGTCGATAGAGATTTGAACAAGACCTGGGATCGGATCAAATGGATCGAGTGCTGTGATCCGTGGAGCATAGTTTGTAAACAACGATCCAAGTGCACCGTCTTGGATATCCACGCGAGGACCAGAGAAGTCCATGATCGGGGTGGCGCCGACCTCGCCTCCAAAGAAGGCGCCGTAATCGGTAATCACACCAAAGTCAGGATCAATGTTGGCGCCGTTGGTGCGGAGTGTTGCACAGTCCGCAAAGTTGTTGAGGTCACCGGAGCCGCCGTCTACACCGTTGTTGACATTGATCCAGTAATCTGGCTCAAAATCGGAATCGAAGGTAATATTTGACATGCCATTGAGGCCATTGAAGCTGATGTCAACATTGGTGTCGAGCAGGACATTCTGACCACCTGGTGCAACATCGAAGAACATATTAAACTTGTTGTAGTTGTTCTGGATGTTGCCACCGATGAACACATACAGCTTTGCGTTTGATTCATCGATGTAGACGCGGCAGTTGTCAAGTTCCGATCCGTATGCCCAGTTTGCATCTGGTGAAACTGGAGTGGATTCAGATTGAGTTCCGATGACGCCTTGGGTGTTGGAGTTGTCGATCGCCATCATCACGCCACCCGAGAGTGAGCCTGCATTTGCGGCGCCGTATCCTGCGAGTGAGCCGAGGTCATCGATGTCCATGTCGATCGGACCGAAGAAGGCACGAGGCACATTCGGGGTGGTGCCATCATCCATGTCATCATTCCATGCATCTACAGAGAAGACATAGTCTGCGTCGAAGCCGGAGTCGAAATCCAAACCGTTTTGACCGGAGATGATGAATCCACCATCACCGGAACCGCTACCGAGTGTGCTGTCGCCGCCGGCGCCTGTGTCGATGTACAGGTCGAGGCCGTTGCCATTGTTCTCAAGGTTCCCAGCAACGAAGATGTACAGATTGGTTGCATCCTTGGTGATATAGATGCCGTCGATTTCAGAGCCGCCACCGTTTGGGCCGGATCCGTCTTCAGTGCCGTCTGTTTCGTCACCGAATCCGGTGTAGTTCCCTTGGAGGAACTCCTGCGACCAAGAGTCAGCGCCCAAGCTGCCGTCAACTGTTGCTCCAGTTGATGGAACAGTGCTGAGGTCGATCTCGATGTGCTGGGTGGTCATATCAAACGGAGCGTCATTGAAATCTTGCGCACCGCCGAGGTTGCCTGTATCGATCGGAAGATCGCCGATGATCTGGTTGGACTTAAATGTACGATCGCCAGAGTTGACCCAACCTGCGAGACGAATGGTTTCAGTCCCGCTTAAGCCGAGCGATGCGAGTGGGATCTTGATTTCGACACCCGTGTCCACCACTTCTGGGTTACCGAAATCGCCACCTTCGAACAAGCCAGCAGAGTTATCACCGAATCCGGTGGCATTATTCTGAACCCAGATTACATCTGAGTAGAAGCCGCTCTCAGTTCCCGGATCGTAAATCCCGTCGATCGTTGGTTGTGCGATTGCAGTTCCTGCGCATGCAAGTACCGACAATGCGACTGCTCTTTGGTTGACTCTCATCGATATCTCCTCGAGTGGGTATTAGGTACACCGCATCTCCATGCGGCGGCTTATCAAAAACGCGATGTGCTCAGATGCACAATCAATCCTGTTCACTTTACCACACAGATGAAACTGTTCATACGCTAAATTGCTCAGAATGCACGAAAAACGGAGATTTTCAAGCCAAAGGCCGGCTTCAGTCTTGCCGGATCTGGATACGAACATTCCAGTCAGTTTTGCCCAGATTCAGTCGGATCTCGATCGGAGTGCTGGCGAGAGTTCCGCTTCTGGATTGCCACTGGGTATCAGCAGGTCCGATATCAATACCAAGCGTTTGACCATTTATTGTTCGCAGAACTCGGATGCCTCTCGCATCAAGGCTCGGGACCCATCGCGCGGAGCCATTTGTTAAGAATGGGTGAAGGGCCGGGTCCTTGTTAAGCTCAAGAATCTCTCTCAGCTTGGTGTGGTACCAGGTTCTTTTCGGGTCAAGATTTGTGGTGTTCCAGTACTCTTCAGGGATCGGTCGGCGATCATCGGGATCATCTGCTCCAGTCATCGCGAACTCATCGCCGTTGTAGATCATCAGCGAGCCGGGATTCGCGATCATGAGCATGTACGCGACGAGCGATCGAATCAGAGCGTCATCGCTCGCGGCGTTGCGGTCATATGTAGCCGTGTTCTGCCAGGGATGAGAACCATTATCGAATGATCGTTGATGATCATTGTGCATTAGTGACACAATCCGCTCTGTGTCGTGCGATGCGAGCAGATTGAGCTGGCAAGCATCCGTTTCCGGATCGTGTGTATAGACCTCTGTGAGCCGAGCGGCGAGTGATCGTGTGTCGCCTTTCATGTGTCCGATGGACAGCCAATCTGCTACGGGATACGCGGCAGGGTAGTTCATCTGCGAATCAAATGCCCTTCCGTCAAAGTACTCGCGTGCGTCGTGCCAGATCTCTCCGACGATAAGTGCATCGGGATTGAGATCTTTGACCAATGATCTCCAATCTTTCCAGAATGGTCGTCCGATCTCGTTGGCGACATCGAGCCTCCATCCGTCGATGCCATCCGACGGATCTCCGTCGCCGTTGGGGTCCATCCATCGTCGAGTGACGGCCATCATGTGTGCCTTTGGACCAGGAGCTAAATCACCAGTTTCAGTCTGTAAAAACACGGGTAAACGCCCGTTCTCACCATTCCAGGATTTCCACCAGATCAGTTCGCCGACGTCATTGAAGCGGACATCGAACCAGTCTGCGAATGCGGAGGATTCACCATTTATGCGGACATCACGGAATGCCCAATGATCAACGCCGACATGATTCCAGACACCATCGAGCATGAGCTTCAATCCACGCTCATGGACAGCTGGGATGAAAACCTCTATAAACCAACGATCGGCTTGCGTCCATTCCCAAGTACTCTCATCCGAAGGATCTCCGAGTCTGGGTTGGTGAGATAGATCAACTGATCCCGGATGAGCAAGAGTGGGGTCAATATGGCGATGATCCGCGGCATCATATTTGTGGAGCGATGTCGAAGTGAAGATTGGGCAAATGTAGATGCCGTCAACCCCCAGTTCGACAAGCTGATCGAGATGCTGCAGCACGCCTTGGAGGTCGCCACCATAGCGGCGTTGTGTGATGACATTCGCGATCATCCCGCCCTGTGCGTGGGGAGAGAATCGGAACAGCCCCGGCTCCCCTTGGTGGAGGAACCACTGCCGCTCGATTTCTTCGATCGTGGGTTCGTCAAATGGATGATTCCACCTAGACAGGGAACTGATCCGTTGGATGGGGTCATTTCCTGGATTCGCGTTCGCGAAGCGTTCAGGAAAGATTTGATACCAGATCATACCTCGAGCCCAATCTGGTCCGTATCGAGTAGATTCTGCTGAAATAGGCGTGTTTTGAACACCGCGTCCACGATGTTGGTCTGATTGCTCGCATCCGACAGCAATTTGACAGAGCGTGGTGAGGGTCAGCAACCAAGCCTGAACAGTAAGATGATGAAAGTGCTTGGTTTGCATGGTGAATCCCTGTTGACGCGGCTGATTAGATACTGTAAAGTCCAAATTGGGACATAAAGGCATTTTTCTCATGCCACAAGTTTTGTCGAATCTCAACCTGTATCCGGTTGAACAGTTAAGGATATCCAAAATGGATCCGCATCGCAGATCGGCCTTCACCCTCATCGAACTTCTCGTTGTCATCGCGATTATCGCGCTGCTGATCGGTATTTTGCTCCCGGCATTGGGTAAAGCAAGACAGTCGGCGCAAGATCTGAAATGTTCTGCGAATGCTCGATCGATGGGAACTTCGATGGAGTTGTACGCTCACGACAATCGTGATTGGTATCCAGTCATGCCTGTTAGTGCTCAGTCGAATCCGAGTCGGTACCGACTGATCGGAAATCAGAGTAACCTTGGAGTCGCTGGGTTGTTTAGTCTCTACCAAGTCGGTCAAGCCGACTGGGCAGGCGCAGGTTCGAATCCTTCAGCTGATCTTCGCGGATACATCGGTGGACCGGCACAAGGAATCGGCAGGTATCCTGACAGGTCTGATACACCGATTATGGAAGGGTACATGGACGCTTTTGAGATCCTGCACTGTCCAAGAGACAAAGCAGATTCTCATTGGCAGTTCCCCACCAACTGGTACGACGCACGATATACATCGCAAACACCTGATAGTGATGGGCGATTTAGGGAGATGGTCCCTGAAGCTCCATCATCTTCACTTGATGTTGTCCAGTACAACATCAGCTATCTGTACTTTGCAGGATTTAAATCCAGCGAGCCCGGGCTTCTCACACCACCACCTTTGTGGGGTGATGAAACCTACGGCAATGACATGGTCACCAACGCCTTTTATGGATATGGGTACAACTGGGTAGAGGACAGATATGTTGACGGCTGGGAGACCACTGCAGCAGATATCGGTTTCAATAAAGAAACCGGCTACTCCGACTTGGACAATCACGGCCCAAATGGTGGGTACTTCGCATTCACTGATGGACATGTTGAGCTCATCGATAAGAACCCACAGCGCACTTTCTTCGCACGCGTGAGCAAGTATGTGAATACTTATGACGCTGATGGCCGTGTGACTGGTCGTGTTCAGGTCCCAGAGGAAGAGCGTGAGATCGGGAAGAAAGAGGGTAAGAGCATCAACATTACCAATCCGAACCGCTCTTCGTTCATGCAAACCATTGAGTGAGCCTACGCTGGATCATTGGATCAGCTCGCCGACCCTTCGGCAGTATAAAGAGTCTTCCGCACACGACCATGATGACGAATGATCGAGGCGCACAGTGACCGAAACTAATCACGCAGCCGCAAACGGAGCGGCCGGGAAGCATCCGTTCTACAAACGCCTCATGGCGCATCAAGAATCCGGGCTTGTGCTCGTGATCATTCTCATGTCTGTTGGGCTCACTCTCTACGGGATGCTCAATCCTCGGGAATCGCGCACTGAACTTCTGCGACCAGCAGGTTCAACCATCATGCTTCTTGATGGAAATGGTGAAGCGCATGCGCCCGGAACAATCGCGCGCACCAAGATTGCAACTTACCGAGTTGTTGACGGTGCGGACACGACCGATTATCCAGCTTCCGAGATAGACAAGTACGACTCCTCAACGGACACACTGTACTCCAAGAGCAGCATCAATCCATTCTTGAATAAGACCAACCTGGTGCTGGTCACCAAAGACGCGAGTTTCTTCGCGATCATCGCGGTAGGTATGACCGGCGTGATCATTCTCGCAGGGATTGATCTTTCTGTGGGTTCCATTTATGGATTAAGTGCCGTTGTCGGAGCAATGGCGTTGCAGAGTTTGCCTGCAGATGTTGGATGGTTTGTCGCTGTGCCAGTCGGGGTGCTCGTCTGTATGAGCGTCGGGACGGTCTGCGGGCTTGCCAATGGTTCGATGAGTGAAGGACTGGGTGTTCACCCGTTCGTCATCACGCTTGGAATGATGGCGGCACTGCGCGGACTCACGGTTGTGCTTCCTCAGGAACTCTTTGGGACCCAATCCATCGGTGGCTTTCCTGATTCCTTCTCGAAGGGGTTCTTCAAAGCTGAGTTCTACGGCGTGTATCCTGTCCCAGTGATTATCATGATTCTCTCAGGTATCGCTGGATGGTTTGTGCTCTCGAAGACTGTGTTCGGACGCCGAGTCTTCGCGATTGGTGGGAATGAGACTGCCGCTAAATATGCAGGGATTCCGGTCAAGCGGACCAAGATCCTAGTCTACACCATTACCGGGGCGCTCTGTGGCTTATCTGCGTGTGCATACCTGGGATACTACGGAGCCGCGGAAACCAATGCGGGTAACGCGTACGAACTCCAAGTCATCGCAGCGACAGTGATCGGCGGCGCTTCACTCATGGGTGGTCGCGGGACTGTCATAGGTGCGGTTCTGGGGGCGATCATCATCCAGCTGATCAACAACACGCTGATTATTTTCGAAGTGGACACCAGTTATAATCAAATCGTGATGGGAGCCGCGATCGTGGTTGCTGTCGTGATCGATCAGACCAAGCAACGAATCCAAGCCCGAAGGGCATAACGGAGGCACAAATATGTCAATCAAAGCTCACATCTTCACCGCAAGCTCACTGCTCGCTCTCACGGCGTTCTCGATCGTTGGATGTTCCGGTAGCACAGACTCCGAGAAAGCAGCTTCATCGGACAATGGCACTGAGAATAGTTCGGAGATCGTCTACAAGATCGGTGTTATCGCAAAGAGTAACTCGAATCCGGTTTTCCAAGCGGCAAAGAACGGCGCGATCGCCGCTGGGAAGCGATTGACCAATGAACTGGATGGCGCATCAGTTGAGATCCTCTGGCAGACCCCTCCGATGGAGGACGCACAGGTCCAAGCACAGTATGTTGAACAGCTTGTTTCTTCAGGTGTGGATGGCATCGCGATCTCATGCACCGATGCGAACCTCCTTACAGGTGCACTCAAGAGTGCGGTTGATAAGGGCGTGATCGTCGTGACCTTTGACTCTGACGCTCCAGAGTCTGGACGCATGGCGTACTACGGCGTGGATGACAAACAAGCCGGTATGGAAGTTATGAAGCAACTCGCGACTCAGCTTGACAACGAGGGCAAGGTTGCGGTGCTGACAGGGAATCCAGCAGCGACGAATCTGCAAGCACGCGTCAATGGAGTGCTCGAACAAGCCGCTGAATACGACGGTATTGAAACACCGGTTGTGTACTCGTTCATGCCTGAAACAGCGACGGAAGCGGCCGCGAAGATGCAGCAAGTCCAATCCGCGAATCCTGACATCACAGGGTGGGCGCTCGTGGGAGGTTGGCCGCTCTACACCGACAACGCGCTCGATGGCATCTACGAGAACGCGAAGATCGTCTCGATGGACCCCCTTCCGCTTCCGCTTGATTATGCACTCAAGGGACAGGTTCAAGTCCTCGTCGGTCAGCCATACTTCGGATGGGGCGAGAAGTCGGTGGAGATGATTGTCGACAAACTCCACTTCGATCGCGCTCCAGCATCAGAAATGGTCTACGCAGACTTCGACATTGTGACTACTGAGAATGCCGCTGAGTTCGCAGAAGGCTGGAAAGTCTGGCTCGGCGAAGACTAAGCATAGATATGTCCGAGCCGTCTTCACCCATTCTGATTGCCAAGAACATTTCCAAGCGCTTTGGAATCACTCAAGCGCTCGATAATGTATCGGTCTCTTTCTGTGCTGGAGAAGTCCATGCACTCATGGGTGAGAACGGTGCAGGAAAATCCACGCTCGGCAAGGTCATTGCAGGATTGCATGCGCAGAACTCTGGGACCGTCGAGATCAGCGGCCGTGAGCTTGTCCCAGGTTCACTCGATGACGCGTTCAGCGCTGGAATACGCATTGTGCATCAAGAACTCGCGCAGTGCCCGAATTTGTCGGTTGCTGAGAATCTCTGTTTGCACGATATCCCGACAAAGGGATTGCGTGTGGACTTTGACGAGATGCATCGCCGAGCGGCGGAGCTTGTGCATCAGCTTGATCCAGACATCGATGTGAGCAGGCCGCTCGGAGCACTATCTCCGGGACGACGGCAGATCTGTCAGATTGCGGCTTCACTCGATAAGAATCCAGACGGCTCGATGTGTGCGAAGGTCATTGTGCTTGATGAGCCGACCTCGTCATTGTCTGTGTCCGAAGCTTCCACCCTCATGGACATCACTCGCGATCTTGCGGCGCAGGGATTGACCATCATCTATGTATCGCATCGCATGAGTGAGATCTTCACATGCTGTGATCGTGTCAGTATCCTGCGTGACGGCAAGTTTGTCGCAACCAATATCGTTGCGGATATCGATGAGCCCACGCTCGTGGAGCAGATGATCGGTCGTCGGATCGAGACTCCGATCGCGAAGGGAGAGTCTGTATCTGTAGAAACGCAGGCGCTTCGTGCAGAGGTGCAGGGTAGCGAATCTCATCATGAGATTTCGCATACTCCCGTCATGACTCTGCGTGGGGTAAGCTCGCCTGGCAAGCTTGATGATTGCAGTCTGGACCTGCACGCCGGAGAGGTCCTTGGGATCGGTGGTCTTGTTGGCGCCGGACGCTCTGAACTGTTCGATGCAATTTTCAACATCGACACCAGAGCGCGAGGCTCCGTGAAAGTTGAAGGCAAGGAAATCCTTGGTAAGGGCATCCGAGGCGCGATCGACGCAGGTGTTGGACTTGGGTATGTCCCAGAAGACCGGCGTATCCAAGGCTTGTTTTTCAACCTCGGGATCGATGAGAATATCCTCGCGCCGATCATGAACAGGATCGCGCGTGTCGCAGGAATTCGGAATCGAGGATCAGAACTCGACGCCGTGAAGCAACGGATCGAGCGATTCCAGATCAAGACCGCATCATTGAGCGAGACCACCCCCGGCGAACTCTCGGGAGGAAACCAGCAGAAGCTCCTGATCGCTCGCTGGATGACCGACCAAACCAAAGTGCTACTGCTTGACGAACCCACGCGTGGAATCGATGTAGGAACCAAAGCGGAGATCTACAAGCTCATCCGTCAAGCCGCGGATGAGGGGCTTGCGATCTTGCTTGTGTCATCGGAGATGCCGGAGCTGCTCGCGTTGTCCGATCGGATCCTGGTCATGGGAGAAGGGCAGATCAAAGGCGAACTTACCGGTTCTGAAATGAACCAGACCAATATCCTCACTCTCGCGACCAAAGAGCGTGAGCATACATCCATTGCCTGAATGAGTCACAATCTCAGTGTGACTCAACTCGGACAGGCTTGTCGCTGTTGATCACACGCGCCTTGATCGTGCGATCTGGATAAGACAACTCGCCGTCATGGTGCTTGATGTAGACGACGATTTCATCACCTTGATCTTTCGCGTGAATTGTGGATTCGCGGAAGCCATCCATGAGGTAATCGAAGCCCTCGCCCTCGTCTTCGTAAAGGAATCCCTTTGCGTAACCCTTCGCGTTCAGATGCACAACAAGCGTCAGTTCATCACGCGAATCTGGACGATCACCGAAGTATTGAGTCACAGGAGCGGTTGCAATCACCGTCCCAGGCTTGATGTACATCTTCGGGAGATGCGGATCCTTCGAATCTCTCCCTGATTCAAAATCTGGGAAATCAAACTCAGCCCACTCAACACCATTGATCGCTTTGGGCAAGATCGAAACACGATCCGCTTCAGGTGTTGCTTTGGTGACAATCAGCAGGTCAGATCCAATCAAGAATGAGTCATCCTCCGAACGCAGCGCCATATCCGCTGGATCAGCGAAGAAGGTAGGGCGCATGATTGGCATCCCTGTATCCGCGGATTCCTTGAAGAGAGTGTAGATATAAGGCATTAAGCGATAACGACGCTCCAGCGCCCGTCGGCTGGTCGCTTCGACTTCCTCGCCAAACGACCAAGGCTCCTTATCAATGTTTCCCTTCGCCGTATGTCCGCGTGAGAATGGGAACAGCGTGCCGAATCCCATCCATCGTTGGAAAAGCTCGCCGTCACCGTTGTACGCGAATCCGCCGATATCAGGCCCAACGAAAGGCTGTCCCGAGAGACTCAGGTTCAGCGACATCGGGATCGACATGTCGAGGTGCGCCCAGTTCGCGCTGTTGTCTCCGGTCCATGTCGCACCGTAGCGGTGTCCTCCGATGTAGTTGGCTCGGGAGAGCACGAACGGGCGTTTGTCTGGATTAGCCGCCATGACCCCTTCGCGCGTGGCGCGGATCATCTGCATGCCGTAGACATTGTGGTAGCGGTTGTGAGTGTCTGTCCCGCCGAGTTCCGGATCAGCACGATGCACATTGGTCTCCGGCATGGTCTTGGACTCGACATTGAACACCGCTGGTTCATTCATGTCGTTCCAGACGCCGTCGATGTTGTACGCCATGAAGTCTTCGTACAAGCTCGCCCACCAACGGCGGACATCCTTGTTGAGGTAATCCGGGAAGACGCACACGCCCGGCCAGACTTCGCCGTTGTAGACATTGCCGTCTTTGTCGCGGACCCACGCGTCGTGTTCATCACCTGAATCCGAGACGAAGTAGCCGTCCTCGTCTTTGACGCCGGGGTCGATCATCCAGACATTCGAGAAGCCCTTGGTATCGAGCCAATCATTGAGCCCCTTTGGATCCGGGAACTGTTCTTCATCAAAGGTGAAGACGCGATACTCGTCCATGTAATCGATATCCATCCAGATCACATCCGCAGGAAGCTTGCGAGCTCGGAACTCGTTGACAACTTCTTTAACCCGTGAATCTGGGTTATATGAATAGCGGCATTGGTGGTACCCCACTGCCCATTTCGGAGGCATCGCGATGGTTCCGGTCAGTTTCCCGAGTCCAAGCATGACTTCCTGTGGAGAATCACCCTCAATGACGATTACGGCAAAGTCGCCGCCTTCGGCGCGGAAAGTGATCCCGTCACGCAAGTCGATCTCGCAGCGATAGGTGGTATCCGCAAGCACGCCAAACGCCGAGCCATCACGGCGAACGGCGAGCACCCAAGGATGTGAAGTGTAGAGGTTTGGATCACCAAGCCCGTATCCGAACGCGTCGTAGTTCCATGTTTCAGTGACAAATCCGTTGCGGAGGAGCGGGCCGGCGCATTCGCCTGTGCCATAGAGGGAAGTACCACTCTCGATCGAGATGCTCGCAACCGTTCGTCCGGTCTCGGGATCATTGGAATAGCTCGGAGCGGTCTTCAGTTGATCGAGGCTCACATCGCCGAGTGATTCAAACTCTTGAACGAGTGCGAAGGAGGGTTTGCGAAAATCACGAGCATGATAAGAGCGGTCATAGCGGACAATCTCATCGCCAATCATCTGCGCCACTTGCGCACTGAGTGTGACGGAAATGACCGAAATGGTGAGAATACAGAGTATGGATCTGATTGTGTTGTTGATCATGATGCGTCTCAAAAGCGGGCGTACACGAATGCTCATAAAATCATCGAGCAACTCCAGGTGGACACAATACTTCTCGGACTCCATCTCGTGTGAAACAAAGCGTTAAAAGATGCGAAACTCGTGAATTTTCCGTTCACATCATTCGGAAAATCAGCAATAATCATGGTTCAAGTTCACCCAAACAAAGTGCTACTCCCATTTGTGCCGATTCATGCACAAACCGAAAGGGCGATATGTTCACAATGGTCAAGATCAAACGCTTCTCCGCACTCATTAGCATCGCGATCCTCAGCTCGATCTCAGCGTCGAACGCGCAGGCGCAGATCAAGTTCAACTACCTCCAATGGTTCGAGACTGAATGGGACGATATCGAGCGTCGCACGCCGGATATCTTCATCGCAGGTTACGACGCACTTTGGCTCCCACCCCCTTCCAAAGCATCGTTCGGCAGCGTGGGATATGACCCCTTTGATCGATTTGATCTCGGGAAACCCCCACTCCTTACATTCTCCAGTACACGAGAGCGGACGACCTATGGCACGGAAGCGACCTTCCAAGCGATGATCAAGGAGCTCCAGCGTGCTGGAGCTCAGGTCTACATCGATGGCATCTTCAATCACAACGGTGGACGAACCGAATCCGATGCCTTCCTCGCACAAGGCGGATACCCAGGTTTCTGGATCCCTCGTGAAGATCCACCTCGTGACAAGCAGCCAACGGATGATTGGGGTGATTTCCACAACGGAAATGCATTCGGATATTTGCAATCTGAGAATCCAGGAGCGTCGAACTACAACCTCCTCGATGGTGATCTCGTCGCACTTGTTGATCTCGCTCAGGAAAGCAATAACCAATTCATCCGTCACCCCGTCATGGCGGGCGATCCAGACAACATCCCAGGCGGGACAATCTGGAATGTGCCCGATCCGAATAACGCTCGCTTCTATACAGACCAGGCGCTGACTCCCGACTTCATCAGCAATCCCGGTACGAGCCGAAATCCAGGCACACTGAACTTCACTCGCTACCCATACAACACCGCTGATCCGCTTGCTGGGGACGCGGTCGTTGACAACGGCACAGGACTCCTGATGCGATGGGCACAGTGGATGATCGAAGTGCAGGGGGTTGACGGCTTCCGTCTCGATGCGCACAAACACGCCCCAAGTTGGTTCTGGGATGGGTTCTTCGATGCCGCGATTCATAATCTCCGCGTGCGTCCAGATGGTGTGCGTGTGAATCCATTTACCTTCGGCGAGAATGTGACCGGAAACTTTGAGATCCTCAACAACCAGACTCGAAAGGATGCCTTCGCGGATCGTGATGCGCTTGATCTCCAAGGTGCAGCTCGCTTGCGTGACTTGCTCAATGCGAACGGGCTCGGGAGCTGGTCAAATATCACTTCAAATGTGGATTCTGGTCACCTTGATGTCGCTGATGATGGGATTGTGAACGGCACCAAAGGGCTGAACCATGTGTTCTCCCACGACAATGGTTCAGTCGGTAACGGCGGCTCCATGCCCCCTCTCCCCACTGCTCAGCAGCAGGGATACCAGATGCACGCATATATGCTGATGCGTCCGGGTCGAGCGATTGTCTATCACAATGGTCGTGCGATCTTCACTCGTGCTAATGGGTTCTTCCCTCGCGAAGGTGTGCCAATTGCGATGGGGTGGGATCCAGCGACACAGCAGATGGATGACACGATCACCACGCTCGTCCAGCTTCGAAATCAGGTCGCTCGTGGTCAGTATTTCGCTCTCAATGGGAACATCAGCGATGTGCTCGTGTTTGAGCGTGCTGCGAATGGATTTGCCAATGTCCTGACTGCGGTCAATGATCGTTTCGATGCTGGTTTCCAGACGATCACAGTGAATACCTCATATGCTCAAGGCACTCGACTCCACGAGATGACCGGCAATGCCGCGGATCCAGTCGTGGATCCGAACAATGACATCCCTGAGTTGATCATCGTTGGCGCGGGTGGTTCAGTGACGCTGAATGTACCAAACAATGTCTCATCCGCAGGAACCCACGGCAAGGGATATGTGATTTACTCAGAGTCGCTCCCCGAAGCCGAGGTCACCTTCATTGGTCAAGACGGCGTGATCGAACCCGATCCGTCCACTTTCCCTGACTGGATCCAGAGACTCAGCGAGATCGCGGTGATCCAAGACGATTCCTTCGAGATCCGTCTCCAGACAACTGCAAGCGATCCGCTTGATCCGAACACAGACGACAACGCGATGTTCGCATTCGATCAACGCGTAGACGATTGGAACGGGAATGGAGCGCCGGACATAAATCCCTCCGCTCTGTTCCTTGGTGGCTATGAGAACTTTCTCACTGTTAATAGCCCCCTTTACAACTCTGGGAACAGCTTCGGTTTGTATCGACAAATGATCGATGCGACCCAGATGGATGAAGGAATGCATTATCTAAGCGTGATCGCTTTCCGCCATCGTGACCCGAGTACCTCAACGATGTACCGTGAGGTCCGAAAGGTTCTGTACATTGATCGCCTACCACCAGAAGTCGAACTTGAACAAGCGGGGATGACTCTTGAGGATGATCAACCGCAGTTTATTGTCCATGCTCTTGATCGCACAACGAGCGAGCTCCACATGCTTCTCGATGTTCCGATGGGTACCGATCCACTCTCCTTGATCAATACGCAAACTCGAGTGAATCCATACGATCGATTTGAGTATCGTTACACCTTCGATCAGACACTCACTCCAGGTGATCACGAGATCACGCTGGTTGCAATTGAAGAATCAGGTACGACGAATGTAGTGATTGAGACTGTCACGATTGCCGGGGATTGCCCAGCGGATCTGACCGGCGAGGGTGATTTAAACTTCCTCGATGTCTCCGCATTCTTGACCGCATTCGGCAACATGGATCCAGTCGCGGACTTCACCGGCGAAGGGCAGTTCAACTTCCTCGATGTCTCTGAGTTCCTGATCCAGTTCAGTCAGGGATGCCCGTAAAAGGCAAGCCGCACCTGCGATTCCGCAGGGCTTACAACGAAAAAAGAAACGGGGCTGGATGTGTCATCCAGCCCCGTGTTCATTCAGTAGTTGCCAATCGCTTTAGCGACGACGGCGTCCAGCAACCAGACCGCCGAGACCGACCAATGCCAGTGACGAAGGTGCAGGGACGATGGTGTAGCTCAGGAAGGTGCCTGAAGCTGATTGATTGCCCCAATCATCTGTGGACCAATCCGAGCGGCTCAGGTGGTCAACTCCAGGGTCACCACCACCGCCACCAGATGAGAACACATCGAACTCAAGCGTGTCACCAACACTCAAGCCGAGTGCAGCGAGTGACACAGCGATGTGCTGGATTCCAGATGCGTGGTTAGCATCAGAAGCCATGATGTCGGTGCCGGCGAGGTAAGTCGCGTCGGTGAGGTTCCAAGCCATGCCGTCGAACGAGCGAAGCTCTCCGCCAGCACCAGATCCACCATCATCTGCCCATGAGCCGACGAAGTCAGTGATCCCGCGACCCCAATCGACATTGCGATTCCAGGAACCTGGGTCGGTCGAGTTGTCACCCGCATTGGCGCCAGTGTCCATGCCAATGACATATTTGCCCCAAGCGATTGCATCGATGTCACCAGCGATGGTGATGTCGAAGTAGATGAAGCTCGCATCATTGGTCACTTCAACTTGAGCGATGTCGAGGTGATTAAACCCCTGTGAGTAAAAGAAATCGTGGACATCTCCGCCAGCAAGATGCGATCCGGTGGTATCACCGTACACATCAGCATTGGCTGCACCGGCGAGCGATGCGATGGCCATAGCCATAAGTACATTCTTCATGGTCATCTCCCTAAATATTCTCCAAGACAGGCTGTCCCCGAACGAGGGTCTCTCAAAGCCTGAAAAACACAGTCTTTACTATAAAGCAGACCCAGAGGTCTCTACAAGCGAGAACCACCTGAAATTGGTGAAAAAACAAGATTCTCTGTTGGTCCTCAAATGGTCGATATCACGCTAAATATCCAGATCCGCGATCACCATCGCATGGTCCGATACTTCCATGCCGCTCTGGCGATCAATAGAACAATCCAGCATCCGTTTCCTGGCAGCGGGGTTCATCAATAGGTAGTCAATCCGCCAGCCGCGATCCTTGGCTCGTGCCTCCCCTCGATTGGACCACCAGCTATACGGGCCGTCTACATCACCGTGGGCCTCGCGGATGACATCCGACCACCCCATATCGATCAGATCACCCATCCATTGTCGCTCATGAGGGAGGAAGCCTGAGGTGTTCTGGTTGGACTTCCAGTGAAAGATGTCGCGTTCTGTGTGCGCGATATTGAGATCTCCGCCGAGCACTGTCGGGATCCGAGACTTGAGCATCGGCTCAACCCACTGGTGGAAGAATCCTAGCCATCGATCTTTCTCGGCTTGTCGGTGCTCTCCGGATGATCCAGATGGGAGATACACCGAAACAACGCGGAGTTTCCCTACTCGTCCAACGATGACCCGCCCTTCGGGATCATCTCCGCCCGGACCTCTGAATTCTTCTTTGAGATCGTGACGAGACCAAATCGCTGTTCCGGAGTAGCCCTTTTTCTCTGCCGGATGCCAAAGGCAGTTCCACCCATCTGGATCTTGCCAATCAGATGGGAGCTGTTCACGGAGCGCTCGTACTTCTTGCATCATGAGCACATCAGGTTGAATCCTGTCGATGTGGTCAGGGAGTCCCTTTCGCAGCGCGGCTCGCAGTCCGTTCACATTCCATGTCGCAATTCTCATGCGAACACTGTAGGTCTATGGTTGCGTATGACAGGATCAAACAACAATCATGCCGTGGTCTTTGCGGGAAGCCCAATGACTAACCTTGCTCTTTACCATCGCATCCGATTTGCTGTGGGTGATCCGACTGCGCTCATCGAACTACCTGGTGATCCGAAGCATCGACTGCTCATTATTCGCGATATCGAAATGCAACGAGCACGAAGGGATGCACGAGCGGATGAAGTGGTCTGTCCGAAGGACTTTGCGCCCAAGGACTGGGAGATCGGTGATCGTGAACTCGAGACGGCTCAGTCGGTTGCCGAGTGCTTGCGCGTCAAAGGGATCGACCACATCACCACCGATCGCACACTCCCAGCGGTTTATTCTCACTACATTCAGAAAGCAGGGATCACAATTGACTGTGATCCAGATCTCGGAGTCCGCGATCGGCGATCGAAGGATGCGGAGGAGCTCCAGCATCTGCGGGATGCTCAGAAGATCTCCGAAGGATGCATGCAGATGGCGTGTGAGACGATTGCACGCTCAAACGCAGCTTCGGACGGTGGTTTGATTCTTGAGGGTGCCCCGCTGACATCAGAGCGGATGTTCGAGTTGATTGATATCTGGTTCCTCAAGCACGGCGGAGCAACACCCCACGGCTCCATCGTCGCGGGAGGGCCAATCGGTGCGGACTGTCACGATCGAGGGGCTGGTCAGCTCTTTACAGGACAGCCGATCATCATCGATCTGTTCCCATACATCAAGTCATCCCACTATCACGGCGATTGCACACGCTGTGTTGTCCACGGTGATATCCCTGACGAGGTCGCGAAGATGCACAAGACGGTCATCGAAGCAAAGAAAGCCGCGGAGAATGCGACGCGAGCAGGAGTGACTGCTGATGCTGTGCACGCAGCGACGATCAAGGTCATCGAGGCGAATGGGTATTCAATGGGACTGCCCGAATTGGACGCTCCAGATACTGCTTGCACGATGCCTCACGGTACAGGGCACGGGATCGGGCTGGATGTCCACGAACCCCCACTGATCGATGTGGGAGGCCCAGAGCTGGTTGAGGGGGATGTGCTGACTATCGAGCCGGGACTGTACTGCAAAGCGATTGGTGGAATCCGCATCGAGGATATGGTCGCTGTGACGAAGGACGGCATCGAGAACTTTAACACACTCCAGACCGATCTGACATGGGCATGAAACACGGACACACCAAACCGAACCGGCTTGCCGTATGGGGAGATAGCTTGCTCAATAAGCTACCGGGTATCTCACGCAAAAGACGCAAGCGTGAAGCGAGCAAAAAACGGCGTGTTCAACTCAAGCAAGAGCTTCATCGCTAGGGTTGATTTACTTCGCTTTGCCTTGAGCGGCAACAGCAGCCATCGCGGCTTCCACAGCTTCCGCATCGCCGAGGTATCTCTTTGAAATCGGTTTCAGTTCAGCATCCAGTTCATAGACCAGAGGCATTCCTGTCGGGATGTTGACTCCGACGATCTCTTCGTCAGAGATCCCATCGAGGTACTTCACAAGTGCACGCAAAGAGTTGCCGTGCGCTGCGATGATGAGTCGTTTGCCATCCTTGATCTTCGGAGCGATCTCGTTATTCCAGTAAGGGATCACGCGTTCGACGGTATCTTTCAAACACTCGGTGGTTGGAATGTCTTTGGGATCGAGTCCGGCGTAACGACGATCATGTCCAGGCCAGCGTTCATCCGAGGTTTCAAGAGCTGGTGGTGGCGTGTCGTAGGATCGGCGCCAGATCTTGACCTGGTCCTCGCCGTGCTTCTCGGCGGTTTCGGACTTGTTGAGTCCCTGGAGCGCTCCGTAATGACGCTCGTTGAGCTGCCAAGCTCTGGTCACTGGGAGCCACATGAGGTCCATCTCTTCGAGTACATGCCAGAGCGTGCCGATTGCTCGTTTGAGCACGGAGGTGTACGCAAGATCAAAGCTGAACCCTTCCTGAGCAAGCAGTTTGCCTGCCTCAGTTGCTTCATCATGACCTTGCTCGCTGAGCGGGACATCTTTCCAGCCCGTGAAGCGGTTCTCTTTGTTCCAAGTACTCTGGCCGTGACGGATGAGGACGAGTGTGTACACAAGCGGCTCCCTGTTTGAGGTCATTGAACCTCATTCTAGCCCGCTGTGATCCGATGGCTCGGGACATCGTACACCGGAACCACATCGAGCAGATCCACGCGTGAAGCGTACTCGATGTCCCGATCCATACCCAGCTCGATGAGGCGCTTGCCGTGGACAGTTGCTCTGAGTGCCTCATGAATCGAGCCATGCTGATCGATCGCATGATTGGTCGCATCGGCAATCAACTGAGCAGATTCTGTTGGTTGGGCACCGAGTTGGATGAGCCGATCAACCATCAGTCCTGCGGCATAGCAATCATCTGCTGATACCTGCTGATGAGTTCCGGCGCAGATGATGGTTGTGTCTGTGCCCTCTGCGTAGTCGCACACCGCTCCTCGATTGACAATCGACCCGATGAGCACTGTTCGTGCCCGATCGAGCATGGAGAGAGCACGGGTACCGTTGGTCGTGGTCAATATGAGGTCTAGTCCCTGAACAACATCGCTGGTGTATTCAAGCGGTGAGTTCCCCAGTTTGAATCCTGCTGGAGGGAGACCGTCGCGCTCGCCACAAAGGAAGGAGTTGTGTAGAGCACTCGCGATATGTCTCGCGTGATCAACATCGCGAACTGGCAGGATCGTGCGAGCACCGGCATGGAACGCCGCGGCGATTGTGGTCGTCGCGCGAAGGACATCGACCACGATGAGCGTGTGAGACTCAACCTGTGATTTGGGCGCGTGCTCTGGGAGCAGAGCAACATCAACGATCGGCATGGTCACCTGCTTGAGCTCTGAATATTCGCTCAGTTCTTCGCCCATTGAGAGCGGAACTTGGATGCATCCATCGAGTTTGGACGGATCATATCCAAGAGTTGAGTCTGAGCTCGCTCAACCTCAAGCGGGGTCAGTTCAAGCAGCGCGATCCGATCGAGGATGATCCCAATCTGTGACATCACGATATCGACTTCATTCTGATCATCGCTATTCAGGCGCTCGGTAACCTGGCTGATTCCAGGTCGTGCACCTGATTCCTCATCGAGTTGGCCGAAGAGGGAGATGTACGCTGAGGTCAAACGATCAACACTGCGTTGGGATAAGCGATCCATGATCAGCGTTGGGGATTGATCCGGAGCGACGGTGTATCGCTCAGCACCAGTCAGGGCGCCTTCGCGGACAGTACTTCCTGACACATAGGTCGGCGCGAGTCCGAGCTCGATGAGCACCTGACGCTGTGCGAGGTAAGGTTCATCGTCGCGCAATCGGATTTGATCTTCATCTGCCAATGCGGAACCAAGGTTCGCTTGGGTGGTTGGTGGGTTCATGTTCAGCAACGGCCCCAAAGTCAGGTCATATGCGTAGACCTGTCCGCTGGTCGCTGGGAGCGTTCCCATGAAGTTTGCGAGTGAGACGCCGCCTGGGAAGGTCTCGATTGCGAGTCCAAGCGTGGTGCCGCTTCCTGCGTTGTTTGCGAGAATCACATCCTCGGCACCGATCATCGCTCCACCAGCGTCTGTGACAATGGTGCCATCAAGAAGAATGGTCCCCGATGCAATCAGTTCCGCGGCTTGCTCGTCATATCCAGTACCAGAACGATCACCCTCATTACCAGTGCCGTGGATCAGTCCGCCGAGATGGCCTAGGAGCACGATTTCATTGCCCGCACGGCCTTGTGAAAGAATGCGAATGTCACCCAACGCGTTCACATCGCTGAGTTGGATTGTTGTCGATCCCAAGCTCTTTGCTGCGAACTGAATGGAACCGAACGAAGTAATTTTTTGTCCTCGACCGGCATAGATCCCATCGGTCGCGGAGATGAAGAATCGGCTTGAGAGGTCAATCGCACCGGCATCCATCAAACCTAAGCCTTCTGTCGCCGCATTCGAGAACAAGAATGCCGCTGCGACTTGAGATGGTCCTACAAGGTCGTCGCCGAATCGAACGGTACGGAATGGTCCTTGATTCGGAACATCGTGGAATGGGATGCCTGTCCCAATGTTACCTTGGAACTTGAAGGGGGTTCTTCCTTCGCCGTCCCCAGTCCAGACTTCGCCGTCGTACATAAATGCGACATCGGACCCGCCGCGGATATAGGAGAACAGGTGACCGCCGAAGAGCGTGGTGCCTGTGCCGGTATGGAATGTCACGCTTGGGCCTCGGATCTCTGTGTATCCCATGAGCGTCATGCCGTCGCGTGTGGAGACATTGTCAAGATATGAGGTCAAGCGCGTATCGACATCGAGGAATCCGAGTCGTTGATCACTCGTTGGGTTTACACCGATCGCTCCACCAAAGTACGCATCGCCGTTGCTAGCAAAGACGCTGAGTGTGTTGTACTCACCAGCTTCAGAATAAACATCGCCACTGAAGATGGTGTCGCTGAAAGCTCCTGAGCTGTTGAGGGCAACACTCTCTGTGAGTCGGACATCACCAAAGAATGCGATGCCGGCTCCTGTTGAGTGAATGTTCGTCCCGAGATCGATCACACCACTTGGTCCAGCGGTCATCTTGACCGATCCAGCGGTGATCGGGGTTCCTCTGCTTTCGGCGTTTTGCTCAACGATGATGTTGTCGCCACGAACAGTGAGGAACCCGTTGTCATCAACTCCAGTCGCATCGATGTTTCCAGAAACCAGGACATCGCCGCCCTCGGCTTTCATGAACACATGGTCCGCTTCGATCGTCCCTGTATTCCATGCGGCGATGGAATAGATATCACCCGCCGCGAGTCGAGGTGCAGAGTTCTCGGTTGTGGTTGCCTCAGAGGCACTGAGAGGGACTTCGATCTCAACGAATCGGCTTCCAAGATGCGTCCCGATGAGAACCTGCTCACCGGCGGCCATGATCACTGTGCCTTCTGGAGCAGAGATCGTTCCCATGTTTGCGACTTGACCACCAAGCATCGCGATGACATTGCCTTGCAGGTGTCCACGATTGATCACAGATCCGGAGAGATCAGTGAATCGGTAGGTCTCTGACGCGAAGTCCGCATTGGAGATGTTTCCTGCTGCGGCGTACAGACTGCCCGCGTTGACCACGGCGTTCTCACCAAAGACGATCCCTGATGGATTCACCAAGAACACCTGACCATTCGCCGTCAGCGTGCCATTGATCTCTGAAGGTGTTGCTCCGCTGATGCGATTGAGCACACGCGACTGCGCGTTAGGCATGATGAACTGGACAGTCTCTCCAACTCCGATGTTGAACGAAAGCCAATCGATGATCGACATATCACTGGTTGTGATGGTCAAGAGATTGCCGTTGGCGTCAAAGATCGCCGTGCCAGCGACGATTGTGGCATCATCCTCGTGTGGATTCGCAAAGGCAAGCGGTGTCGCGAGTCCCATGCTCAGACCAGCAAAGGCTATAAGCGCGGCGCTGAGTCGCCCGCGAGGGAAGTTCATGTCTTTGGTTGTCATTGGAAGATCCTCCAATAGGTGTATGTCAGAAAGCAACGGTTGCGCTGAAATGCAACCTCGAGTCCCCAACATCTGTGGCGGTCGTCAATCCGCCGCCGATTCTGGTGAGCGCCATCCCGTAGTTCAAACGGAGCGTTAGATTTCGCTTTAACTGTGCCTCGATTCCGACACCTACGCCAACCAGAGTCTCATCATTTTCAAAGAAGAGGGCGTCCTGTACGGTTACCCGTCCTATATCTACGAATCCAGAGAAGATGAGATCCCAATCCGCCGCCCCATAAGGTCGAGTTCTTGCATTTCTGAAGGAAGAACCGAACAAATTTGTTGTTTCGGTCGTGACCGGAGTCGCTTTGCCGAGATGGAATCGGTATTCGATGGTTCCGATAATCGCGTTATCCCCCACCGCAACCGACTCCTTGTATCCCCGAACACTCGAAGCACCGCCGGCGACTGTCTGGAAGTTGGGGACCAATCGAGACCCCAAACTGCTCTGACCGCGCACAGAAAGAACCAACTCATGCGCCAATGTCATGTCGTCTATTCCTCGATCACCTCGGAATCCCTTTGGGTCAAATATCGGTTCGAGGAAAAAGGAGTGTGTCAGCTGCCCGCTCAGTGTTGAGAACTCATTCTCTGCGAGTGGTCGGCCCAATGCACCGATCCGATTCTCGCTCGTACCAGCCGCACGTGCAAGGTTGGTTTCGAATCGTATTTCACCATACGAGGTATGGAGCGGCGTTGATTTTTGATAGCGGAGTCCGGCAAACGGGAGCAAGAAGTTCTCATTCCCTGTGATCAGAAGGACACGATTGTCCACATCAATGTTCTCGAAGCGGATTCCACCAAAGAGGTCGAGGAATCGAGGGCCGTCTTGCCAAACATTGGTCGAGATCTCGACGCCGTATTCATACCCCTCGCCTTTGAAGCTCTCGAATCCGAGTCCGACATCTGATGCGGTGTATTGATTCCATCGCCCGTGGACTTTGGCGCGGAAATCAGGTCCGAGGTCGAAAGAATACGAGCCGAGTATCGCGTGTGAAGAGTCGAATGCCGCGGTGATGTAGTCGATTTGCAGGATGTCATCTTGCCCAGTGAGTTGGCGATGCACGAACCCGAAGCGTTCTTGCCATTCGTTGGTGCTGCGAGTACCTGTGTTGGAAATGCTTGCGTACGCGGTCCATTGCTTCGGTTCCGAGATCAGGTAGTCAACAACGACTTTGCCTTGTTCATCAGACGGGGCGATGGAGACATCCGCTCTCCGACCAGGGTGACGATTCAGTCTATGGATTTCATCGTCGACGGTCCTCTTGGTCAGCAGATCTCCTTGAGCGATATCAAGTCGGATGCGTTGGCGCTTGTGAGCTGTATGATTGATGTTGGATTCGTCGTCTTCTGAATCTCGCTCTGCGATGCGGTCTCCGAGCGCGACTGTCCGGACTTCACCAACGGACGCCGGCCAGATCAGTATCGTCAGTGGGAAATCTCCAGGTCCACGAAGATCTTCTTGTGTAGTCTGGAAGGCGATCTCGTTCGGAGATGGTGTCACGAGATGACCAAGGAAGCCGTACTGAGATTCCATCTCATCGCGCACCGCCTGGATAATCGTCGCTAGAGCACTGCCGTAGAGCGTCACAGGGCCTTCAGATCCGATCAGGCCGATCGTGATGGATTCGGTCGCTGCCCCTTCGACGGCACCGATGTAGCCTTGCTCTGTCAGTGTGAGAGGAACTTGAATCTGGAGAAGATTTTCGAGGTTTGGGGCATCAGGGTGCTCAATCCCATATCCCAAACGAATACCTGTCACACGATAGCCTTGTCCATCTCGGGATGGCTCCACCCCGGCAGATGAAGGTTCTGGTTGTGTCACAAAGGCTCCTGCGGCATAAGTGGTTGTTGCGCAGAAGGATAGCGGCGTGGCCGATAGCGTTGCGCCCAAGGCAGTCACTGGAAGAGTGAGATTGAAGAGTCTGAGACGCGGCACAATGCACTCCATGCATGTTCGTTCGACCACTGTCCCTACCGGTAATTTAACACTCGATGCCGATAAAATCCTAGGAATTGGGGGCTTTTTGTGGTATCTATCTCCATATCGACACAATCGAAGCGCAATGTTGATCACTCTCATGGTGTTTCGCTATTCCGCACAAGATCGCTTCGAAATGACTCGATGGGGACACTATGCGCTCGACGAACACACTCAGTTTGCGTGCGGCTTTGATTGCCGCGATTCCAACCACCCTCCTGCTTGGTGCATGCGGTCAACAACGCACCTCAGAACTCGCAGAATCGGAGCAAATGCTCATTCTGGAGGAAGTCGGCATCGAGAGTTCGCTGATTGGATATGAGTTCGAGCAATCGAATCTCGCACTCAATAGTGTTGGCCCGAACCTCATCGCAGGTGATTGGCTCGCTATTCAGTGTGCGCAAGCCGCGGGCTACTTCGACGGCAACCAGTTGGCACCGGTCTATGCGAATGTCGTTTCATACGATTTCGAATAAACGATCTATATAGAGCTCACTCTTCGTCGCCATTGACATGCTCAGTCATGTCACGGAACATCACGACATCATCCATGTTGTAGATCCCGTCGCGATTGACATCCGCATAGGGTTCCTTTTTCCCATACGCATCGGTGAACCGGTCGTAATCGCTTGTCCCGATTTCGCCATCGCCGTTGGTGTCGTAGCGTCGCAGGAAGCGGTCAAGCTCTCGCTGTTCGATCATGGTATCTCGTGCATCTACTCGCTCGTCGGCGTTGAGATTCCCATCCCCATCCTGATCAAACTGAGCCGCAAACTGATCCATCTGGTTTCGTCGTTCTTGGAACTGTTGGTCTTGCATGGCAACAGTCTCTTCGAGTGACATCTCTCCATCGCCATTGGTGTCGTACTGCGCGACAATTTCAGCCATGCGTTCTGCTTCTCGTGCGTCGAGTTCAGCATTCATTGCTGCGAGTTCTTCTTCATTGAGGGTGCCGTCCCCATCAGCATCAAACTCATTGCGCATCCGCTCACCTCGGCGAGAGTTGAGCATGAACTCTCGACGAGCTGCAAACTGTTCTTCGATGCTGACTATGCCGTCACCGTCTGTATCAAATCGCTCTGTCATCCGTTGGCGGAAAGAGTTCGCCATCGCATCACGCTCTTCTGCATTGAGCATGCCGTCTCCGTCTGCATCAAACTGCACCAGCCGATTTTCAAAGTCTGCGAATCGGTCACGCTGATTCCGACCGCCTGGAGCGTCTCGACGCGGTGCTTGTAGATCGCGAGTGAGATCTTCCAAGGCTTCCGGCTGACTCTCATCGGCTTCTGGCAGTGCATAGGCGCTCGAGGCCGGATCGATACTGACCTGGGCTTGATTTGAAGCAGCGGCATTTTGGAGCGTGGGCTCATCCGAACTACTGCTGAATAACAGAATGCCAGCTATTGCGATCAGCCCGATCCCAGCAACACCACATACAAGAACATTCGAATTCATGCGAGACTCCCTGAATGAACTCCAGAATAACGCACCGGTGCTCTCGGGATGACAAGGAAAAGTAAAAAAACACCATTCTCATGGATGAGAGGTGTTTTGGAATGGCGAGAGAGAGACTTGAACTCTCGACCTTAGGGTTATGAATCCTACGCTCTAGCCAGCTGAGCTACCTCGCCAAAGGTGTTGCGCCGCTCTTCCAAGCGGGTCGCAATGATAAGCATCTGAATCGGTATCGGAAAGGAGATCCCGTACAAAACAGTTGGAATTCGGTTGATTACGAGTTTGAGTCGCCCTTCGGCGTCTCTACGGGCTCGGATTGGATATTCGATGAGCTGTGGGCTGAGGAACTCATATCCGGATTGTTTGGTGCTTTCGCGGTATCAAACTTGGGTTGGTACACATTTTCGTCGGATTGGACATTGATCTCGTCCCCGACTTCCTTGAGTCCCTTTTTGAATGACACGATCCCTTGGCCCAAGCTGCGACCAACTTCTGGGAGCCGGCGTCCAAACAGCAGCAGCATAATGATGCCGATGATGAGCATTTCCGGCCAGCCGAGATTGGGGAGAAATCCGAGTGTTTGCATGGTGGTATTCAATGGTTGGACCTCTTGAGAGTCAATCTAAGTGCCGATTTCATGGAAGAATGCTGTGAATTGTATTGGGTTATCCTTGAGCAAGTTCCACGACATTGTGGAGTAATACTGCTACGGTCATCGGCCCAACACCACCTGGGACGGGAGAAATCCAGCCTGCGACCTCTGAAACCGACTCGAAGTCCACATCGCCGACGGTCATTTTTTTTCCAGATTCAGGGTCGAGGATCCGATTCACACCGACATCCACGACGAGGGCGCCAGGTTGGACCATCTCGGGAGTGATTAAGCCCGCGACTCCCGCTGCTGGTATGAGGACATCAGCGGATCTGCAGAGATCGGCCAACCCGTCTGTAAACTTGTTGCAGCTGATGACCGTCGCTTCCCGTTGCATCAGGAGCACGGCTATTGGGCGTCCTACTACAACCGAAGCGCCCACCACCACACAGCGTTTACCCTTGAGATCGATTCCAGTGGAATCGATGAGCTTCAGGGTCGCGAGAGCGGTGCATGGGGCCCGCATGGAACGCCCGTAGACTACATTGCCGATGTTCGCTGGATTGACCCCTTCGACATCTTTGTCCGGATCAATCAACATCTTGATGTGATGCGAGTCCACATCATCGGGAAGCGGCATATGAACCATGATCGCGTGCACGGTCGGATCAAGATTCAGGTCCATAATCTTGGTCTCGATGGAAGCCTGTGAGGACCCTTGTTTGAGCTCGTGGAGTGTGTACTCGATCCCTAGGCTTTCGCAGGTCCGTGCCTGATTCTCGGCGTATACACGAGCGCCATTGTCTCCCGAATCCACAAGGACGGCATCGAGCTTTGCCGGAGATCCGCGCTCGCGCAGAACATCAGCCTGCTCCGCGGTCTCCCTCCGGAACTCCTCGGCCAATTTCCGTCCATCAATCAGCTTTGCGCTCATGCCGGATGATAGCACCAGAGACACGAATCCCCCGTATCATGTCTGCGTGACTGAAGCGAAATCAAGAATAGAAGAACTCCGTGACTTGCTGAGTCGCGCAAACGCCGCCTATTACAGCGGTGAATCCGAAATTATGTCGGACTCTGAGTTCGATCATCTGCTCAAAGAGCTCCAGGATCTTGAGTCTGAGCATCCTGATCTCCAAGATCCAAACTCCCCCACCGCTCGTGTAGGTGGAGATCCCATCAAAGGATTCAAGACACTCGCACATTCGACCCCGATGCTGTCGATCGACAATACATACAACGAGGATGAGGTCAGACAATGGCTTGCACGAATGAACAAGGGGTTGGGCTCGACGGTGGCGACGGATCAGGAGCTATTTCCAGGTGATAGGAGCGACATTGCTTATACCTGTGAGCCCAAAATTGATGGGGTTGCGCTCTCAATTCGCTATGAACAGGGATCCTTTTTGCGTGCACTTACACGTGGTGATGGAAATCAAGGGGACGATGTCTCACACGCCGCTCGGACGATCCGATCCATCCCACTCAAACTGCACGATCCAGATATCCCAGAAGTGATCGAAGTCCGAGGCGAAGTGTATATCCCGCTTCCAGAGTTCCAGCGAATCAATCGTGAGCGTGAGGAAGGTGGCGATGAGCCGTTTATGAATCCACGCAACGCGTGCTCTGGTACCCTCAAGAGTCTTGATCCCACAATGATTGCTGGACGGAAGCTTGGATTCATCGCTCACGGGCGAGGGGAGCTCAGTGACGAGTCATTCGCGAGTGGCCATCTAGCGTTTTGCGAGCGCATATCTGAGTTTGGGTTCGATGTCGGAGCACACCGCACGGTTGAATCGGATATCGATGGTGTTACCCGTGCTATTGAGCGGATCGATATGATTCGACACGATCTTGAGTATGCAACGGACGGCGTGGTGGTGCGCGTTGACAAATACGCACAGCAGGAGCAGCTTGGTTATACGAGCAAGTCACCTCGGTGGTGCATCGCGTACAAGTTCCCTGCTGAGCGTAAGATGACGAGGCTCCTTCGTGTTGAGCATCAGGTCGGAAAGACGGGGAAGATCACGCCTCGCGCGACACTTGAGCCTGTGCTTCTTGCTGGGACCACGGTGTCCCATGCGACTCTTCATAACTACGGCATGATCCGGACGCGTGATCTGCACACCGGCGACTTGGTTGAAGTTGAAAAAGCCGGGGAGATCATCCCGCAGGTTGTCGGTGTCGTTCTCAAGAAGAGGCCAAAGAACGCTGTTCCAGTATTGCCTCCGGAGCATTGTCCAGCATGTGACGCACCATTAGAGATCGAACCACCAGAAGCGATCCAGGATCCCAAGATGGAGACGACGCGTCGATGTATGAATCCTGAATGTCCGGCGCAGATTCGTGAGAAGCTGGTTTGGTTCGCTGGCCGGAAACAGATGGACATCGAGGGGCTAGGTGAATCGACGATTGACCTCATCCGTTCGACGGATATTCCACTCGATCATTTCGCCGATATTTTCGATCTCCATCGATACAGGGAGCAGCTCGTCGAGCTTGAACGGATGGGAGAGAAGAAAGTCGAAAACCTCTTGAATGGGATAGAGACCGCGAAAGAGCAAGGCATGGCACGAGTGCTCGCTGGTATGGGCATCCGTCACATAGGTTCCACCACAGCAAAACTGCTTGCACGACAGTTCAAGGATATTGATTCGCTGCTCCAAGCAAAACTGTGGATGCTCATGCCTACGGCTGTCAACACGATGAGCCAAGCAAAGCGTGATTCACTCACTGGTTCAACGGCGAAACTGGAGTCAACCTATGAAACGGGTTTGGGGGCTGACACAGCTCCAGCCGTCTACGAATATCTCCATTCACACGCCGCGTCTGATGCGTTCGACCGACTCCGATCAGTCGGCGTGGATCTGAGCAGCAAAGATTACACGGATACAGAGAGCATTGTTGATTCCCCGTTTAACGGGAAAACTGTGGTGTTGACTGGCACATTGGATTCGTTTACACGAACGGAGTTGAGTGAACGGCTCGAATCGCTAGGGGCAAAAGTGACTGGTTCAGTCTCCCAGTCGACTCATCTGTTGATCGCTGGAGAAAAGGCTGGATCGAAACTAACCAAGGCGCAATCGCTCGGTGTCGAGATCTGGGATGAAAAGAAGTTACAGGAAACCCTCGATTCGATCAACGAATCCGCGACTTGAAAGCCGATGAGAGCATTATGAAAAACCTTGAATGGAAAGCCGAGCTCCGTGATCCGAATCTTGCGCGTTTGATTTGCAAGAAGATCGGAGCTACCAAGATTGCCAAGATCCGACAGACCGACACCTACTACAACATCACACGAGGTCGGCTCAAAAAACGAGAAGCCGTTGCGGTCGAGCGAGGGATTGGATCGCCCGAGCCGATCGAGTACATCTACTACGAACGACCTGACGAGATCAGCCCAAAAACTTCAGACTACTCGATCCTCTCTCAGGACGAACTCCATGAGCGATTCGGACAAGCTGATTTGCCGGTGTGGTTGACGGTTACCAAGGTCCGCGAGCTCTATTTGCTTGGATCGACCCGTATTCATATCGACGATGTCCATGATCTTGGATGGCACTTCGAGTTTGAGTTTCTTACGAACACCAGCGAAGATGCCGAGTCCGCTCCGGCAATCGCAGAGCAACTGCGGTCGACATTTCTACCGGCACTCGGTGAGCCAATCCGTTCTTCCTACGCAGAACTGCTCGAGCAGCACAACTCTATAGAAAGCACGAAAGCAAACTGAGTGCTCACAGCACCTTGCGGGGTGGGATCACGACATTTGCGAGCAGCAATCCTACTACCAGTGCAGAGGCGAGCATCAGCACACTGACAGCAGATTGGACACCGTTTACGGTGTCGTTGTGCATGAAGAGCTGGATACTTTTGAAACCGATCGAGCCCGGCACGAGCATGAGTAAGCCGGGGAGCATGATGATCGCTGAGGGTCTGTCCGTAAGTCTCGCGTAGGAGTTCGCGAGTCCTCCAAGGCATAGAGCAGCGAAACAGACTCCCAGCTGTGATCCGAACTGAGCGCTGCCAAAGCGGGCACTGTAGTAGGCGACGAAGACAGCGATGACCATCCCCCAAGCATCGGACCATTTCGCTCGGAAGAGAATGACAAAGAACAGCGACGAAATCAATGCGGCGATGACCTTCCACAGCTGAGCAAGCGATTCAGGTTCGGCGATGCTCGGTAGATCAAGCATCACCGAAGCTGCTTGACTCCCAGCAGCGACTCCGAATCCGATCAGTAAAAAAATCATCATCGCGCCGAAGAATCGGGCTGATCCAGAAACGACATTCCTAGTCGCGAGCTCGGTCATGGACATAGTGAGCGTCAAACCCGGAATGAAGATGATAATCCCAGCGAGTAAGGCAACACCTGACGCATATGGGCCAGTCCAAAGTGAGAGCACTCCTGCTAGAAACGCTGCAATGAAGCCTGCGAGAAACTCCATAAGTCTCGCGTATTCTCGTTTGCGTCCCATGAATAATCCGAGAATGCCGATGGTTAAACCGATGATCCCGGCACTAAGCATCTCCTTGGTCCCTCCACCAAAGAAGATCGATGCACAGGTCGAGACCCCGCCGCTGCTCAGAATGCTGATCCATACAGGGACTGGATCTTTTTCATGGACAATTCGCTTAATCTGTTTCACCCCAGATCTGGGGGAAAGTCGTCCGGCGAGCACTGCATTAAAGAGCTCATCGAAGCGCCGAAGCTTGGATAGATTCACTTCGCTTGAATCAATCCTTGAAAGATATGTCGTTTGAGTTCCATCTTGTTCAACGGAGAGAAAGACCGAAGTGGGTGTCGAGAAGACATGGCACTCCAATCCCAGTTCATGGGCGCAGAGTGTGATGACGCCTTCGAGTCGATGTGCCGCAGTTCCGTAACTCCCCAGAGCGCGTGATAGCTCGATCAGGAATCGGACCCGAGGGTCGTCCGGGCGAGGCGCCCTGCGGATTGGGCGCTTGGTGATGTCCATGGATCACATAGCGCCGCCATCAAAGACGATTCGCTGCTTCGTTTTGCGTGGGTTGGGTTCGGGAACCGCTGAGAGGAGCGATTGGGTGTACTTGTGCTGAGGATTCTTGATGATGTCTTCTCGTGATCCCTCTTCAACAATCTTGCCTTTGTACATAACGGCGATCCGCTTGCAGACATGCTGGATGACGGCCATATCGTGAGAGATGAAGAGATATGAAAGGCCGAACTCTTCTTGAAGATCCATGAGCAGGTTGATCACCTGTGCCTGAATCGAAACATCGAGCGCTGATGTTGGCTCATCGCAAACGATGAACTTGGGTTCAAGCGCGAGCGCACGAGCGATCCCGATACGCTGGCGTTGTCCACCAGAGAACTCGTGCGGGTAACGATCCGCAGCAGCACGCGGCATACCACAGCGTTCGAGCAAAGACTCGACTCGCTCACGGAGTTCAGACTTATCAGTGACCAAGCCATGGATGATCAATGGCTCACCCACGATGGACGCGATCCGCATGCGAGGATTGAGCGATCCAGCTGGATCCTGGAAGACAATTTGCATGTTTCGGCGGAGCTGCTGGAGTTCGCTACCTGAAGCCGCGAACACATCTTGACCCTCAAAGGTGACCGTCCCGGCGGTTGCTTGAACCAAACGAAGGAGCGTGCGCCCAACAGTGGTCTTGCCACATCCGGATTCGCCCACAAGTCCTAGGGTTTCTCCCTCACCGATCGAGAATGAGACATTGTCGACTGCCTTGAAGTGATCGGTCACACGCTGTAGAAGCCCGGTTCGGATTGGGAAGTAGGTCTTCAAACCCTTCACCTCTAGGAGAGGCTTGTGGGTTTTGGCTTCTGTCGTTGGCTCGCTTGCGGTGGCTGCTTGTGTCATGGTCGTATGGTATCCATTCCTGAGCCAAAATGCCCGTAGAAGTGATGAGAGCGGCCCATAACCATACCGA